AATAAAGTCAAAACATTGAATCCATCACATTTACCAAGACTCCCAAATTCCGATTATCAATACCAGAAGATCAAAAGGGCCAAGTTGATAGCTCAATGGTTGGGCACAAAATGATGACTCTGGGAGAAGCCTTCTACTGTTTCGTATCAGGATTAGATTTTAGAACAATTTATCTTTGTAAAAGCTGTTAAGCCTAGAAACCTTCCTTAAACTAATTTTAAATAAAAGTTACCTAAAGTTCAGTGGAAGATGAAGAGCAGGATTATACCAGAATAGACATTTCAGGTAGGTAGCGGTCCTGGCATTGCAGCAGTCAAGATAAATATAAGAATACGAATGGAAGTGGTATTCAGACGGTTCGGACCAGTTCGCCCGAACCGGTAGCGGAAATCATGGGTGGGCCCGCTGCCCCACCCACCCACCCCGGCTCTATGCCATCCTATTTAGGCACTTTTTGAGGCCAGGCACATGCGCAGAAGGTACACGCGCTAGCAAAGCACATACGCAGAAGGCCAGGCACATTCACATTTGTGAACCGCTAGGGAAGGTAAGAGAATACCATCCCTACTGATGACCCAGGCAGGCCGGTACTCCTTTTCTTCTCCAAGTTTTCAAGTCCAATCTATTTCACCCATAGAGATTATCATATAAAAGCAGTCCTTTATAAAATTATCTATTATTGTTATTGTTCTAGAGATCACATTATTTGACTCAAACCTTGCTCTTAAAAAATACTTCACAGAAGACATTCCTGGAACCATCTATTTCTGGGGTAGCTGGATCACGAGTGCTCTATTATTCACAATTAACAAATTTTATTGGTTTATGATAAAACATGCCAAAAAAAAAAAATACAAAAGCAAATAGTAGGAAAAATAGGGAAGGAAAAAGGGAACGGAAAAGTGTGGAAAAGAAAGGGAAAAAAGAAAGAAAAAGGCATTGACTTCTGACTCCCTTTGGTGCAGTAGAATAGGGTAGTAACATCAAACCACAACTTTTTTACTTTTACATAATAGTTTAAACTAGCCATTTCTATAACAACAGATCTATCTTAGCGGCAAAACCCAAAGTCAAAGTTTCATTTTTTTTTTCTACCTCAAGCACAAAGTCCAGAAGTGGTTTCCAGGTAGAGACAAAAGTATTTTTTCCTTGCTCAAAGCAGTCAATTTAGTCATCTCTGCCAACCTCATCAACTTTTGCAGCCATTCATCCAATGTTGGGGTCAAAATGTCCTTCCATTTTTGTGCGTAGAATAGTCTTGCTGCCGTCAACATGTATAGCATCAAAGTTGTGTCTGGTTTTATCTTTATATTCATTCACTTTAAGAATTTTCTGTATTAGAACATTTTGTTTTATTTTATTATTTATTTATTTTATTTTTACTTTATTTTACTTCAAATTTATATACCGCCCTTCTCCCTGAGGACTCAGGGCGGTGTACAGCCAGATAAAAACACATAATACAAACATTAAGAACAGATTAAAAGGAAATATCTCAATTTGGCCCAAAATTTAAAAGACATACGAATTTAAAATCATTTAAAAGGATTTGTTATTTATTTTATTAATTATATTTATATACCACCCTTCTCCCGAAGGACTCAGGGAGGTGAACAGCCAAGATCAAATACATAAATATAAAAGTTAAAAAACAATTTAAAACCAGATTAAATACTTTGGCCCACAATTAAAAACATCCCATTAAAATCCAATTTAAAATTTAAGCCGTTAATATTAGGCTAGCCCGGCTTCCTGGAATAACAGTCTTCAGAGCACGGCGGAAGGTGCGCAAGTCCAGGGTCCTCCGTACCTCCGGGGGCAGCTCGTTCCAGAGGGCAGGAGCCCCCACTGAGGCTCTCCCCCGGGAGGTCACCAGTCGACATGGTCTGACCGACGGCACCCCGAGGAGCCCCATCCTGTGGGAGCGTACTGGCCGGTGGGAGGCTGTCGGCAGAAGGCGGTCCCGTAAGTACCCAGGTCCTAAGCCATTGAGCGCTTTAAAGATGTTAATCAACACTAATCAACATTAGATGCTAATCAACATGAATCCTATTCCAATATTTCTTTGCTTTGTCACATGTCCACCATAAATGATAAAAGTCTCCTCTTTACATTTCCAACGCTCAATTGAAATACCTTTATAAATTCTTTTTTTTTTTAATTAAATTTCCAAAGATCAAAATACACAGTACAAAAAGAAACATAATCAGGAAGTCATCTACATCTTGCAGTTGGGGGGCTCTCCTCTTGTGGAGGGCTGCACTCGCTCCCGGTGGTCTTCCGGGTGCGCTTCAAGGTTTTGGTTACCACCTTTAGAGCGCTCCATGGCTTAGGACCTGGCTACTTACGGGACCGCCTACTACCACAAACAACCTCCCACCGGCCGGTACACTCTCATAGAGGGGCTCCTCCAGGTGCCGTCAGCCAAACAATGTCGACTGGCGGCCCCTGGGGGAAGGCCTTCTCTGTGGGGGCACCTACTATCTGGAACGAGCTCCCCCCGGAGATACGGAGGGTCCTGGATCTGCGCACTTTCCGCCGTGCTTTGAAGACACTCCTATTCCAGCAGGCCGGCCTGGCCTAATTTTCTCCCCTTCTTTTAAATTTTTAAACTGAAATTTTAATTCGTTTTAAATTATTGGGAGTTTTAAATTGTCTCGGGCAAAAATTATTTAATTGGGTTTTAATCATGTTTTAACTTTTGTGTTTATGTGTTTTATTTTGTGCCTATTCACCGCCCTGAGTCCTTCGGGAGTAGGGCGGTATACAAATTTAATAAAATGAAAATGAAATAATACACACACAAAAAAACCAATAGTTATATTGCTTTTTTAATGTTTATATTTGTTGTTGTTTTTGTGTGTGTGTATGTGTGTGTGTCTGTGTGTATTTCTATAAATTCTTGATAACTTGTCTGGAGTTAAATACCAATGATACATCATCTTATAGAAATTTTCTTTTAAATTGTAATTTAATACAAATTTTAAACCTTTCTTCCACATGTTCTCCCATTGTTCAAGTATTACATTATATCCAAAATTCCTTGCCTGTTGAATCATACAATGCTTTACACGTTCACTTTCCAAATTTAAATTCAATAACGTTAGCAATATACTCATCACTACCACACAGTAAAGTTTCCAATTCATTTTTAATGAAGCCAAACCCATAACTCTTCTTGTGTAATTTAAATCTCTTTCAGTTGTAGATATGTAAACCAATGGCAGACATGTCCTTCTGATTCTAGCTCTTCCTTAGACTTGAGGGTAGGATAACGAAAATTAAAAGATATTATTTTACCATGTCCACCAGTCCAGCTTCATCACCATTTCTTTTTTAAAAAGCTTCCTGTGGGGAAATCCAGAGGCATCTCATAAAAAACCTTTATATTTATTCCAACTTTTAGAATGGCATGTCTAACAAACATTTACTTTAATACTGTAAGTATTAAAGTATTTACTTACTTACTTGTCATACCGTAAGTAGCCATGCGATCCAAATCTTAATTCATGACCTTCTTGGTCCATGATGGCGAACCTATGGCACGGGTGCCACAGGTGGCACACGGAGCCATATCAGTGGGCACGTGAGCATTGCCGTAGCTCAGCTCCAGCATGCATGCGTGTGCCGACCAGTAGATTTTTGGGCCTTCTGGTCCCGCTGGAAGTTGAGAAATGGGCTGTTTCCAGGCTCCGGAGGGCCTCTGGAATGGGTGGGGTAGGCAGTTTTTGCCCTCCCCAGGCTCCTAGAAAGCCTCTGGAGCTTGGGGAGAGTGAAAAATAGGCCTATTGGACGCACCATGCCATCGCATGTTAAAAGCGGGGGGAAGGTGTGCGCACATGCATGAGATGCATTGAATTATGGGTATGGGCATGCACATGGGCGACCTCCCCGCGCTCCCCCTGCTTTTGGCACATGACGGCAAAAAGGTTAGCCATCACTGTTCTAGGTCATGCATCTTATTCTGAAGATTCACTCACTCTTTTAGCCAAACCAAAAAACAAGCATCAAAATACAATTTCAAATCTGACAAACCCAAACCCCCTTTCTTTAACAATGACTGCTGTATTAGTGACCTATGACCTATTATCAATGAGACTCTTGTTTGCCAAGATGTAGAGAAAAGATACAAAGTTTTTGTTTGTGTTAAGTAATCAAGGAACAATTTATAGAAACATGCATGAATAATTATAGAACAGGGGTCCCCAACTGGTGAGGCGCGGCTGACTACCGGGCTGTGGCCTGTTGGCCACTGGGCCGCATGAGTCGCTGGCCACTGTGGCATTCCCTCCACTCGCGCTAGTGTCACCCTGAGCATTGCGCACGTTCACAGCCCCGTTCACATGCACACGAGCGGGTAAAGGCACCTGCTCCCCTCAACCCAAAGGTCAGGGAACTCTGTTATAAAGTATTTTCTTCTAATAATGTTCCTTACAGATAGTATGTATCTTTTACAGGACTGTATAGTGCTACAGAAATAATCAGGAAAAGGTTTTCTAAAATATGTACAAATATAAAACTTGTCTATGATTCTTTAAAGCAGCCATGTCTTTTCTTATAATGATGCAATTTTCTCTTGATCCTAGAAAAAGGACAGGGCTCCTTTAAAGAGTGGTAGAAAAATTCTATTTTCCCCTTCCCACATAATTTGAACCACTGTTTTGAAAATGAATCCAAAACACCACATAGTTCAAAAGTTTAAATTATTCCTTATTAATATCAGTTATTGGAATGAAAATGTCTATTATCACCGATCCTACCATCAACCACTATCACTCAGTGTTTAATATATACAATACTTTAGCTAAGCATTAGCTAAATTGAAATATAGGCTTTATGAGTTGGTGTTATTCTTCAAAAATAAGATTTAATGAGAAAAGTTCCAACTATTCAAAGCACAGATTTCTTTAAAGCAGGAGTGTCCAACCTGTGAGCTGTGTGCAACCCTGGACGACTAGTAATGTGGCCCCAAAAGATCATAAACTGTCAAACGTAAGAAATCAGTTCAAATGAATACAGATTTATTGCATGTGTATACTCTCTGCAAAATCTGAGCTGCTAATAGTCAAAGCAAAATGGATAAGAGTTTATGGAATTCAAGGAGGGCCGAACTCTTGTGGGCGTGAAAGGATTGAAAACTTATGATGCGTTTGACCCTTCCCTTGGGCTCAGCCTGCTCATCTCCTACAGAAACTTTTAACATTATTAGGCAATTTTAGCAGTATTTATATACATTAGCTATATTTGATATTTTATATGCGGCCTAAGACAAATCCTCTTCATTTAATGTGACCCGGGCAAGCCAAAAGCTTGGTCATGGCTTCTTTATGTACAAGGTCATGGCTTCTATATGTACAAGGAGGGCCGGACTCTTGTGGGCGTGAAAGAATTGAAAACTTATGATGCATTTGACCCCTCCCTTGGGCTCAACCTGCTCATCTCCTACAGAAACTTTTAACATTATTAGGCACGGAATAACACAACCACTTACAGTATAAAATACTGGCACTTTTAAAAATATGCTTTATAAAAACATATAAGCTTTTATAAGCATTATTAAAACATTTTTTATAAAATCAATTTTTTGAACCACAACTCATTTTTTAAAATCTATAACAAAAATATTTAAGAGAAACCAGTCAAAACAATATTCTTTTTTACTCGAGGCAAAAACTTAAAAGGCATGCAGTTTTCTTTGAAAAGTTTTAAATGCATCTTCCATCCCATTCTCTTGTCTACGTGATCAAGGACCCAACATTTCATTCAAAATGCCCAAAGCAGCTTCACAGAGCACTCTGAAAAATAAAAATAGTGAACAACTGTATAAAATACGAATGGCAGTAAATACACTTATTTTTCATTAGCTGTAAAGTTCTAATACAGAAATATCACCAAAAATAATTACTTTATGGTTCCATTATTAGCAATAAGTCTATGGCTTAATGCTCCTGTTCCTAATTATGGATCTCATCCATTTGCAAGAACAGGCGAAAAAAACTTTGTGAAGAGATGGGAGTTTGGTGCATTTCATAAGTAGAAGCTCTCTCAACAAAACCTATTTCACACTGTGACTCCAGATAAATATTACTGTCTGTATGTAATGATCAGCATAAACAGCCTTTAAAAACCAGAATGGGATGGGATGCGACAGGACAGGACGGGACAGAACGGAATGGAACAGAACAGAAATTCTTTATTGGCCAAGTGTGAGGAATTTGTCTGGTTGACTTTGGTGAAATAGTGGCTGAACTCATAAATCCTAAACAAGGATTCTTAAAAACCTTTCCAATTGGCTAGGTCACTGTGACTTGATTTTCAGCTTTAAGCTTTAATGAGTGAGTTCACATATCCAATTAAATCAAAGTGGAAGAACATGACAGATTAACCTGGTCTTCCCAATTTGTGGACCAGAACTGCAGAATTCTCCATGTAACATGGCCATTCCTTGAGACTCTTCGGAGTTCACAAATGCAGAAGAAGACTAGATTTGGGGACAGCTGGCTTGTGTTTTATAAGTCATTGACTATACTGAGGTACCATGCTGAACTGTGGTTTAACATGAAAAGAAAACAACATTTCTTTCTTCTTCTCTAATGTAGCAAAAGGAGGTGAACTTTTTTCCCCATGAACAAAAATATGATTTATTAAAAGGAATTATATGCTTCACCTTCCTAATGCTGCGACCCTTTAATACAGTTCCTCATGTTGTGGTGACCCCCAACCATAAAATTATTCCTAAAACCGTTGAAAATATGTGTTTTCCGATGGTCTTAGGCGACCCCTGTGAAAGGGTCGTTCGACCCCGAAGGGATCGCGACCCACAGATTGAGAACCACTGTTCTAGATGAAAACTCAGTACTGGTCCACCAATTTAGATTCAGCAAATGAATTTCTTATTTTTCAAATAAGATAACTGAATTCAAAAAAATTCAATTGTTATTGCACATAAAACCAATGATATTAAGCTATTAACAGTACTGCATCATTTTGCAGTAGTGTTGCAATGCTGGGGATAATGCAGAAACCTGCATTACTCCCAGCACAAACAAGTATATAAAACAGAACTTTTAAAAGAAACAAAATCCCTTGAAATTACCTTTCCACGCCTTCCTTGGTAATTTCGTTGTATGCTGTTATTTTTTTCTGAAGAGTAGCTGCAATGGCGTTTATATAGGAAGGTTTTTGTTTACCTGTCAAAAATACATGATTATGTTGAAGACTTTTGAGTCTTATTGGAAAAGAGAAATATGTTTTGTTCTCTATTGCAGCAGATTAAAAACTCAAGATTTCTCTTTTTTTCAAATAACAATATGTTCTAAAACTATTACTGGTAATCCTCAATTTACAACTGGTTGCAACCATTTGCAGCAACCCAGTCATGTGACTTACAACTGCTTTTACGCCCATTTGCAGGAATCCAGTCATGTGACTAAAATTGATGTTTTTGCTAGAAACCAGGATTAATTGATCAGATTTTTATCCCGTCTTTTTTACTTCACGGTATAATTAACCAAGGCAGCAAACATACATAATACTTCTTCTTCCTCCTGTTATTCTGGCTTCCAGCAAAAATCACCCCACAATGAACAATGAGTTCACTTTAAAACCACAATGCTCACTTAATGACTGCTGCATGTGCATGGTCACATGGAGATCCACTTTACAATCATCAGAGTGTAAGACTGAAATTGTATGTTCAATTACAGTCATAAATCAAGGATTACCTATATGTGCTTCTGAAGACTGAAGGCTCATTTCATTGTCCATCAACGATTATACAAATATTTTTTTATACCTTTTTAAAAAAGAATATGTGCCTAATCTTTCTGCAGCATTTCCCAATCCTCTTAGGTGTTTGTTGTGCCAAATAACTTGGCATATGTAGCAAATCTCATTATTTCACCTGAAGGTATACTATTTAAAAATGCTACCCACCCTATACACAGCCTAGTGAAGTTTCATGGTTCGCCCTGAGGAGAAGCAAGAAGTAATCACTTCCATTCCTTCATCCTGAACCAACAAAAACATTTCGGAAATCTAGAAACTGGAATTAAGCTTGTACAATTTCACTGGATTAGGGAGATGGGGGTATTACTCACCTTTAATTAAAACAACAATGTACACACTAGTGGTAAGGCTAATAATTCCTTCACATTCTTCAGACTCAATGTATTCCAGTAATTCATTTAGAAAAAACCTGAATAAAATATGCATGAAATATACAAAAACATGAACCATACAGTAATTAAAGACAAACAGATTAACTGTCAAAATATGAATTCATGACCATGCAGAATGTTTAGATTTTAGAACCTTTTATGAAGTCTTCATAAGGCTGTTAGACTCAAGTTCTAGATATTTCCTTCTATTTGCTCTCATATTGCTGTACTCAGCAGCCTTCTGAAGCACATTTCTTCCTCAAAAGGCATTGCTTCCACCTTTAGCATTCAAGCCATAATCCTCACCCATTCACAATCTCTACTGCTGCTGCTTCTTCTAACGTATTTGAAAGAGGGGACTGGGACAGAATAGAAGGCATTTTATTTCTAGAATTTAATTTATGCTTTTGAAAAAGTATGGGGGTTCTGGAATTGAGAATCACAAAATCAACAAGTCTCCGGAGATCAAAAGCTATATTCAGATGAGGAAATAGCATTCCATATTTATTTAGCTGAACTGAAGCTTTAGAAGCATCAAAAGTAAGTTTGCAACATCCTTTCGGTTAAAAAAAAACCCTTTTATATGAGAGAGAGAGAGATAGGAAGAGAGAGGGAGGGAGGGAGGAAGAAAGAGAGAGGGAGGGAAAGAGAGTCAGAGAAACAGAGAGGGATTTATTTATTTATTTATTTATTTATTTATTTTTCATATTTCTATGCCGCCCACTCTCCGAGGACTATGGGCGGCTTACACCAAAGACAGTATACTAAATAGCATATTGCCCCCAACAATCTGGGTCCTCATTTTACCCACCTCGGGAGGATGGAAGGCTGAGTCAACCTTGAGCCGGTGAGATTTGATCCACTGATCTGCTGAACTAGCAGTCAGCTGAAGTAGCTGCAGTACTGCACTCTAACCACTGCGCCACCTCAGGTAGAGAGAGAGAGGGGGGGAGAGATGAAGAGAGAGGGGAGAGAGACAGGAAGAGAGAGGGAGGGAGGGAGGAAGAGAATGGGCGGAGAGACAGGCGGAGGGAGGGAGGGAGAGGGAGGGAGGAAAAGAAAGAGGGGGGAGGGAGGAAGAGAATGGGGGAGAGAGAGAGAGACAGGAGGAGCGAGAGAGGGAGGGAGGAAAGGACAGAGGGAGAGAGGGGGAGAAGAGACAAAGACAGAGAGACATAGACAGACAGATACACATTGTTACACTGAAACTGGCCTACCTACAGTGCTCAGCTTTGGAGCATCACCTAATTGGCTGGAATAGCATCACAGATAATCTAAAAACTTGATAATGTTATGAACATTTTATATTCCAGAGTAGCTATATAGCAGATGTAAGTCTTTTGTACAACTGTAAAATCAATCTGCCTGAAACACTGCTCTGTACTAATAAGTACTCAGAAATACTAATTATTCCAAGAGGCCCTTTGCTTCTATTTTTCAAGTTAAATGTAATAAAAATGCTTGAATGCTTGAAATCTGTTTTTTAATAGCATTTAACGAATCTTCAGTATAAACTACTACTAAATTGCAGCTCTTACTTTAAGAAAGAGCTATCTGCAAGTAGACTGCAATTATGAGGTTTCAGAAGTATCTGTAGGATATATTCAGTAGTTCAAAAAATAAAATAAAATAAAAATCTAACTCAAAACCAGAACTGCATACAAGTTGATCAATGACATGCCTACCGTGTTTCTCCTAAAATAAGACATCCCCTGATAATAAGCCCAATTGGGCTTTTGAGCGCATGTGCTAAAATAAGCCTCCCCCAAAAAAAAAAAAAAAAAATAAGTCCTCCCCGAAAATATTTAAACAAGAGAGTTGGAAATCAGGTAAGACAGCAAGAGAAGCCCCATCTTGCTCCACGCGCCCCAAAGTAATAAGACCTCGCCGAAAATAAGGGCAAGCGCTTATTTCAGGTTTCAAAAAAAAAAATACAAGACAGGGTCTTATTTTCGGGGAAACATAGTATTGAGGACAGAAATAATACTGTGGGAAAACAGAAAAATTGGACTAAGCACCCCCAACCTAGGACAGCTTACCTAGCCCCATTCGCTGATTTATTCACAATCGCCATTAAAACGCTTGAAAGTGGTGGGAGATCTAAGAATGTCTTAGGTGTTATTAGTTCTTCTGCATTTGATACCTAAAACAAAAGAAATATGAAGAAGTGCTCCTAGCAAATCAGAAGAACAATAATTGGCATTTGATATTGCTTCCCTCAGTCTTTTATGATCATTGAAATAACTAAGGTTATTATTTGGAAGGAGGAGGAGGAAGACAGGCAGATAATCCCAATGGCAAACAAATAACAGCAGCGAAGCAGCAATTGTGCTTTCTGGAAGGCATGTAACATCAGCCCCCTTTGAAGGCTAAAAGCTTGACTGACAGCTCAGCACCTGTTGTCTTGAGACTTGGGGAAAAGCGTTAGAGCCAGCCATTTTTTTGCTCAGCCCCTTCACACCATCAGGAGCAATCCCGAAATATTTAGTGAAGATTTATTTTTACAGCAGATGTGCAGTCGATAACAAGGGCCATCCAAGAATTTGAGAGCCCTTATTTCTATAGGTGTAGAAAGAGATACGAAGGCAGAAAGTGTTTTAGAAAAGCCTTTCAAAGCTACTCTCCCTTTGCAAACACACAGCATTAGCTAGAGCAGCGATAACAAACCTACGACACTTGTGTGACAGATGGAACGCCAGGCCATTTTTGGTGGCACGTCAGCCCTGAAAAACCCTCTGAGAGTCCTGCTAGAAAACCTTGCTGTTGCGCAGCCTCTGAGGTATTCAAAAATTGCACAAGCATTCTCACACAATTTTCTGAGTGTATGCAGTTTCCCAAGGATTAAGAGGCCTCCAGACTAGGGGCGGGCTTCAAAAATTTTAGCAAGGGATTCTCTGCCCGATTGCTTGGTGGGCGTGGCCATGGTGGGTGCGGTCTAGTCGGCCTCCTGCACCACGGCGGAGGGGGGGGGAGGTTTGTCCTTCCCAGGCTCTGGAGGCTTTCCTCGAGGTTCTGGGAGGGTGAAAACAGCCTCCCCAGGCTCCGGAAGCCCTCTGGGGGCTGGAAACAGGCCTGATTCCAGCCTTCCCGAACTTCTGGCAGGCCAGTTTTTCGCCCTCCCCGAGCCTCCGTGCGTACCCTGCACTTACCTGCATCCAAAATGGGCCACGTGGGGACTCCTGGGAGGGGCGGGGTGGATGGGGCCAGCCAGGAGTGGGATTTGGGGGTTCTCCGAACTGCACAGAATCTTATTAGAGGTTCTCCCAAACCTCTGTGAACCCCCAGCAGCCCACCCCTGCTCCAGATCCTCTAGAAACCACGCAAGAGGACATTACTCTCACACAGTCTCTAAATGATCCTTAACCTTTCAGGCACCAGGGACTGGTTTCAGAAGAAAAACTATCTTCCACAAACCAGGAAGAGACGCAACCTAGATCCTGTGTATGCACAGATGAAGCTTCATTCACTTGCCCACTGCTTGCATGGCCTGTTTCCTAACAGGTCAGTATCAATTAGGGACCTCTGTTCCAAGGCATCCGAAAATCACATGAGCATTATCACGTGATTTTCTGAGCCTCCATGTTTTGGAGGGTAGGGGGAGGAGAGCAGGAGATGAGAGTCCAGATAGGAAATCAAGAGGCCTCTTTTGTCCACTGTGAGGGTGGGGGTGTGACACGGTAAATCAAGATAGGCCTTTTCTGAATTTTTAACATGCCAAGCCCAAAAGATATACCGATATTGAGTTAGACAGTGACATGATTAAAATGATTTCCATTTCCAGACACTGCTGGGAATTCTCTCCCCACATATTCCATACTGAAAAGACCCTGAAAGATATTTGACATTGCCTGTGATTCTATGTGAGTAGGGAATACTATTTCTCACCATAGTGATTTTAAGATGTGTGGGCTTCAACTCCCAGAATTCTCCAGCCACCATAGCAAATTAGTTGTTGCTTGTTTGGCTATCATATCCAGCCAGATCATAAAATTAAACTCTTGCTAAATTCACACATTACAGCAAGCCATAAAATGTACCTTATAAATTCCTATGTATGGATTCATATAACAGGCTAAGACCCTAACAAAGTACAGTGGTACCTCACAACTAGTCATTAATTGGTCCCAAGAGGTGCGGCAAGTACCAAAAATGATGAGTATCAACCATATCATGTGACTTACTACGTGACTCTTGGTTTCGGTTGGGAAGGACTTTATGTCTGTCCCTTTTCCTATATCAGAGAACTTCCCAGCATCAATATCCACTGAGTGCCAAATTTGACAAGCTATGAAGTGATTGAGTATCAAGGTACCACTATGTATTATAGCACAGTATGCAAATTATGTCACTGAAATCTCCCTGGTTATTTTTAATTGTGGCTCAAAGAAGGCACATGATATACCGTATTTTTCGGACTATAAGACGCACTGATGAATAAGATGCACCAAGATTTCGAAGAGGTAAGCAAGAAAGAAAAGTTTTTGCCCTCCCCAGCCCCCAGCACTCTGCAGGCCTCCCAAAGCCACTGAGTGCCCTGTTTTTGCAAAAAAAAATAGCCCGTTTTTTGCAAAAATGGGACGCATGGGGTAGGGCTTTGGGCTGTATTTGGTGTATAAGACGGACCAACATTTCCACCCTCTTTTGGGTGGTGGTACGTACCGAAAAGTACGGTAGTTGTACTGGTGAACCTCAAGAGGTCTGATTTCCGTCGCATCTGATAAACCATTGAATATTTGCTTAGACGAATGTTTCTAACTGGAAGCCTGAAATTATGTGGATGTCAACTCCCAGAATTCTTCAGCCAGTTTCCTGAGAGCTGAATTCCACACACCTTCAAACCACAAAGGTCAAGAAACACCAGCTTAAACCCATTCTTACAGGCACACACAGCATATCTGCCAGAATAGTAAAGCGAAACGTATTACCTTTTTTTTCAAGCTGCAGTTTATCTCAACCACTACTGCAGCTAGAAGAGAAGAAATAACTCCTCGATAAATCGCTGGAAAAATCAACACACAGGACAGGAATGCGTGTACAAATTCTCCAAGAGGCTCTCGAGCAGAGTGAATTAACTAGGGGGAGGAAAATCAGTTTTATAGTCAAAAAGCCTATATGATGCCTATATATCTTTTAAAGAAGCTGAGACAAAAATGTACAACTACACAAATTAAAAAATACAAGGCTTCCAGAAAAACTTTTACTTTAAAAGCTGCATTCTTTTCAGATTCTTTCCTAAAAAAACTGCAGTAAAATACTTCTATTTTCTATAGAAGAGATCTATAGAAATAGATCTCTTTACTCTGAAGGGACCAGGAAAATCTAGCATCTGTCTAAGCTTTGTATAGGGACAAGCTGACAGTACTTGTATGTTGTGGGCCGCCAGCGGCCAGCAGAGCTAGCAGCAGATTCGGACAGTAAGGAGGTTGGGGAGGAACGTGGGCCAATCCTGGAGTCTGGGGAAGGTTCGGATGATGGCTCTGTGTGGGAGGCAGAGAGGGGGCCAAGGCCATCTGGTAGTTCTTTGCTCCCTCCAGAGTCTGACATCAGCGAGGCAGAATAGCATGAGCCTGTTCCCAGTGTGCACAGCTTCCAGGAGACAGGAACAATTAAAGAAACAGGGTCGACTTGGGAGTAAGGCTTGGAGATAATTGGCCCCTCCCATAGGACATAAAAGAGAAGCAAACGGGACATGAGCTTTTGCAGGAACCAATTGGTTCATCTGGCCGATTCAAGATTTGAAAATTCTGTTTGTGACTCTGTGCCAAGTTTGGCCTTGCCCTGCCAAATTAGCTCTTTGGCAGCATTCCATGTGAGATAGGTGGGTGTTGATAACCTTCCTCTGAAAAACTGTTTATCAAGCCTTGCGGACTGTAAATGAAAGTAATTTACAGCAGTATGAATTAAAGAGGTTTGCCGGGACTAAGTTTGTGCTGTTTAATTTCTAAGGAAGCCTAGGTCAGAAGATTGGACTTCTCAACTTACAACCACAGCTGCAACTGGAATTTTGGTCCTATTGACATAGTAATTGTAAGTCGAGACATCCACATAACTGTACTCAGTTTTATTACTGTCTTAATGGTGATGGTAAGTCCACATCTATTTTCCCAAACAGGCGATTTTCCTGGAAATTGGCAACTCCCCTGCAAATTGCAATCACATGTCTGCAGGACACTGCAACCAGTTTTAAATATGAGCTGGTTGCCAAGTGCCTGAAATGCAGTCACATAACTGCTGGAATGGGGTAGGGCAGTGATGGCTAACCTTTTTGCCATCATGTGCCAAAAGCGAGGAGAACGCGGGGAGTCACACGCACATCCATCATTCTAGGCACCCCCATGCTCCCCCTTGCTTTTGGCACGTGATGGCCCGGTGGACCCGCTAGGCCCGTTTTTCGCTCTCCCCAGGCTCTAGAGCCTTTCTAGGAGCCTGGGGAAGGCGAAAACGGCCTTCCCCACCACCCCAGAGGCCCTCCGGAATCAAGAAATAGCGTGTTTCCTGACTTCTGGTGGGCCCAGAAGGCCCGAAAATTAGCTGGCTGGCACACGCATGCATGCCAGAGCTGAGCTCGCAGGCCCACTGATATGGCTCCACGTGCCCGTGCCATAGGTTCGCCATCACGGGGGTAGGGAGTGCAACATTTAAGATGTATGGAGCTGTTTTATGGGCCACAAAGCACTCTTTCCAAGACTGTTATAACTCTCTACAGCCGTTAAACGATTGGTCATTAATTGAGGACTACTTGTATCTACTTTCCCTTACGTCACTACAGCACAAACTTCAGAAGAAACAGCCAAACATTCCAATTCACCCAAGGCTATTTAAAGGAGACTGAAATCAATATCAGAGTCCAGGGGCAATCATTTTATAGAATTATTTTCCAATATAAAAAGGTATTAAAAGGCTCAAGAAGAAACAGTCATGAATCTTTATAATCTGAAACAAAACAAAAAAGAAACCGAGGCTGAGAAAAGAACTTAATAGCCTTACAATGAATTGGAAATATGAAAGGCAGGTAGCAGAGACAATAAAAGATGACATATTCTGGATAAAACAATACAAAGTCTAGTTTTTAAGCTAGTCCACCTTTAATTAATATTGACTGAGAATTACAGGCAAGTCCTTGAAAAGAAATTAAGAAACTATGCAGCACAATATCTAATAACTGCAAGTCCTACCATGGCATCTTGTGCCTGTGCTGTCCCTTTAGAAAGCAATAATTTTATTTCTCTAAACAATATTATCATCTAGCAATGAAAAGTTATCCTATCATCTCTGAAACTTAAAGGAGTTTTTGTTTTGTTTTTTGCGTTTACATTCCTGCCCTGCCTATCACTGGCCCTTTTTACAAAGTGATTTTCAAAGGAAAATAAAAAAATAAAAATAAAAAATAAAAGCAAGGGTAAAGTATTATCTCAGAAAATATAGGACTGTATAATGATTTTCATGTGGAGTTGTCAAAGCTCTCACTTAAAACACTACCAAGTTCTGAACGATTTTTAGCTCTGTCACAAAATGTCACCCAGTGTCAACTTTTTCATTAGAAAACTGAACACCTTTGCTAATGTGAGTTGGTTAGAAAGTAATTGCATCTTGGTACTTTAAAAGGAAGACGAAGTCTGAAATATACTGGAAATGTTCAAAGCAAAACTTAAAAGTCTGGAGCTATGGCGGAGGATCATATCTCCCAATTACAGCTGCAGAATTCTTTCTTTTATAAACAAGGATCAGAATGGGATTGGTCATTAAAACTAAGAACAATTGCTGAAATGGAAATATTCAAACTGGGGGGAAAACAAAATCATGGCCAAGTTTAGATGCAACCAGTACCTGTATCCCTTCTTCTTGTTGTCTTCTGAGCATAAATGCCATAGACTCTAGAATTTTCTGGAACATTTTCTGAACATTATTTAGAAGTTCTGTTATGCAATCAGTGTTGACAATGTCACAGGCTAAGAAAGCTTCAACAATCTCTCTCAGGATAGAAAGTAACATTGGAATGAAATTGGAGCCTTTTCCTAACAAAACAAAACAAAACAAAACGACGTGATGGTGCAGCAAAAACAGTAGAAGCACACTCTAAGATTGTATCTTCAAAAGTGTAGTGTCTGGATCAAAAAAGAAATTGAATCTGCCTATTCAGTACTGATCAGACTTTTTTTTTTTTTTTTAATTTGATTTATATGCCGCCCTTCTCCGGAGACTCAGGGCGGCTTACAATGCATTAAGCAATAGACTTCCCCTTCCATTTATCTCCGTAAACCCAGTTTTTATTTATTTGTTTTATTTATTAAATTTATGTTTTTGGAAAAAGTTGGACACATTGGAGGGGATCCTTGGGAGAGGAAACAAGGTAATAAGCAGTCAGGAAGAAAAACATTACGAGGAATGCTTGGACACATGGAGCAGGCTTAATAGCTACCTGAAGGTGGAATAGAACGGTTCAGAATTGTTAAAGAGGAAGAAACAATGGGTTAAAATTACAGGGAAATAACTTTTGGTTATGTTCCGGAAATAAATCCCATGAGCTGCTCAAAAGTTTGCCTTAGGAGGCAGTAATCTCTCCTCTGCTGAATGTGTGCAAATATGACACTTGTCATGGATGCCACAGTAGTGGATTCCTGGCCAGTGTGAGGAGTTCACTAAATGATTTCCAAAAACTCTTCCAACCTTACATTCTATGAAGAAATAAGATGTGTAGCAGACATAAACTTACCGTATTTTTCAGAGTATAAGACACACATTTTTCCCTCCTAAAAGGGGCTGAAAATTTGAGTGTGTCTTACACTCCAAATGTAACCCCGCGCGGTGCCCAAAATGGCTACCCGGAACAGCTGCTGCCTTCTCTTACCCCTTCAGCGCTTTGCTTACTTTAGTCCCTGGAGCTCCCTCCGAGGATCAGCTGTGTTTTTCAGCCCCAAAGCAAGCAAAGCCATCTTCCGTGCTTTGCCTGCTTTTCTAATTGCTGTTCCCTCCGACAATCAGCTGTGCTTTAGAAGCACAGCCCCAATCAGCCCCAACCTCAAAACCAGCGAGCAAACTAATGTGCTGGGACTAGCCAGATGAATATCTAGTAAGCAGAATTCTCCCCCCACTTTTCCTCCCCAATAACTAAGGTGGGTCTTATGCTCGGGTGTGTCTTATACCTCAAAAAATACGATAGTTATTCCATTCCAAATATATTGTTAAGAGTCTTCCACAATATGGTCACTTTTCAATTATTTTCAACTCCTGGAATTCTCGGCAACAGTCTTGATGTTTCAAATACTGAAATTGATATCTAGAGGGCCCGCTAGGGGGAGGGCAATAAATTTACTAATTCCTGGAAGTTGTTGAATTTGTATTGTTTCAATAAAAAAGACAGTTACAAGTATACTCCTTATAAACTAATGGAGAGAACCGGGAATCTCTTAAGAAAACAGCAACACTTCAATTACATTTCATCACATTATTTTTCATATATATCATATGCTTTGTATGCCATACGTTTGACTTTTAAAAGCTAGTCTTTTAGTGGTCTAAGTATTGTCTTGAAAATAAAATATTCAGAAAAACACTTAGGAAAGCACGCCAGCAATAAAGTCTGATATATCTATATCATATAGGATATAGTTTTGAGAATTCTGTTATCTGTTACTACATTTATAGATTGTGATGTCTGTCACTGATTTTATGTTATCCTAATGGTTTTAGAGTAAGATAAGATCAGTCTTTACTATTTGTTAAATAGTATGTATTTTATACAATCAAATAGGAACAAAAATACAATATATATATATATATATATATAAAAATCATACTTCTGTATATGATCTTAGATGCCAAGTTCAGAAGACTAGCTTGAAATTCGAAATCACCAAGTCCAACAGCTATAAGATCTTTGCACACTGCTAGGTAAGTCTTCGTACAAAAACAAAAAACAGTTATGTTTTACATTTATAAACCAACAAAAACTTACTTTTTGTATACTTCTAAAACGGCACAGCTAAGATTTGGTCATTTTTCAGATGTTTTTTCAGAAACAAAAGTTATTAATTCTCAATAAAGTAGAAAATACTAAAAGTGGTTAAAAGCTTTCATTCAATTTATTTTTAGAAATCCCAGAGTTTCTTAATGTCGTACCAGCTCTGCTGAAGGAAAAACAGTATGGATTTTGCAGAGGGAAAAAAAATTAACGGTTTTTTTTTTCACTGTCTGTAAGTGTATGGATGAATATATAGATATTAAGGTACTTAGTGTATTTTTCACTCCATAAAATGCACTCCCCCTCCAAAAGTGGATGGAAATGTCAATGCATCTTATGGAACGAATATTGCGTCACATTGTGGTGGTGGAGGGGAGGGGGTTGGTGGTGTGGCGGCGACAGGCAGCATCAGCGAACAGCCTGTCGCCTCCACCTATTGCCATTGCTGCTTATTGGCGGTTGGATCAGCCTCCCAGAACACCGCCTATCAGCTGTTCCAGGCGGCAGGGATCTCCGCTGCCTATCGGTGGTGGCGAGCAGCGGCGGCGATACCTGGGGAACGCTAGCGAAGGCAGTAGACACAGAGGAAGTAGCAATGGCGCCACTTCCAGTTGGCCAGCCCGCTGATCGGTGGGGCTACCGAAGGCCGGGATCCAGCTGTCACTCAGCTGGTGAGTGCAACGGAGCGGAGCCCTGACAAGCCATGTGCTGGGGCTGGGAGAGAGAGGCAGATTTTTTGTTTTCTTGTTTTCCTCCTCTAAAGCTAGGTGCGCCTTATGATCTGGAGCGTCTTATGGAGCAAAAAATATGGTAAGTGAGTTTTCAAATACTTTTTATAAAGTTTCTCATCAAACGCTTTGCGGCTAACTTAGAGACCATGCAAAAAACAAAGAATAGGAACAAAATAGGATTTTTTTCTCTGTGAAGGTAAATAAGGATCTGAGAGAACAAATTCTTCACTTGATCCTAAACAGTACTAAAAGACCTTGATTTTTAAGTTCATGAGCACTGCAACTACTCTATAGCTAGCTAAGTCTGCAAATATCACACTTTTCAGAGTGGTGAAAAATATGAGTCAGAAGACCTCATAAGAATGGATGAAGAGTCAACCAAATGACTCATGACCAAATGACAAATGCAGTTCAATTGAATTAAACATAAAGATATGTACATGGGAGAAAAAACTCTAATTTCCCATTCACATAAATGGGGTCTGGCCAGTCCTAGTGAAAGTGTCAACCGAATATAGAGACAGTTCTCGAGTTACAACCATAATGGAGTTTGCCCATTAGTCAAAAGTCAGTACAGTCGTAAAATGGATCAATTGCATGACTGAATTGATTTTATGTTTTTTTGCAACAGTTATTACATCAATGTGACGGTTGTAAAATGAACACTATGGTCATTAAGTGAATGCTGTCATTGTTAAACAAACCAATTTAACAGGCGAATACTTAGTTGCGATAACAAAACCGCAGAAATGCAGTCAGCACAGAAACAATATAAATTTACAGATCATACAGATTAACAGAGTTGGAAAGGACATTGTAGCAGTGGTGAAATGTAAAATTTGTTACTACCAGGTTTATGGGCGTGGCTTGGTGGGGAGGTAATGTGACTGGGTGGGTGTGGCCAATTTTTTTCCTTTTTTTTAACTTTAGAAGCATTTTTTCTACAACCTCTTCGGCCGAAGAGGTTGCAGAAAAAAATGCTTTTAAAAGCCTCTGACGATCAGGCAACTCAACTGGGATTCAGAGGCTTTTAAAAGCATTTTTTTCTACAGCCTCTTTGGCCGAAGAGGTTGTAGAAAAAATGCTTTTAAAGGCCTCTGATGATCCCAGCTGAGCCACATGATCATCAGAGGCTTTTTTTTTTAACTTTTAAAAGCATTTTTTCGGCCAAAGAGGCTGTAGAAAAAAATGCTTTTAAAAGTTAAAAAAACAGCCTCTGATGATCGCGTGGTCAGCTGGGCATTGGGGCGGGGGGCGCAGAGATTTTTGCTACTGGTTCTCCGAACCACCCGCCGCCATCACTACTGGATCGGGCGATCCGGTCCAAACCAGGAGCATTTCAATCCTGCATTGTAGGTCATATAGTCCATCTCCCTACCCAAGCAGGAGATTCTACACAATTTCTGACAAATGGCAGTCCAATCTCTTCGTGAAAGCCTCCAGTGATGAAGCTCCCACCACTTCCGAAGGCAAGCTGTTCCATTGGTTGATTGTTCTCACTGTCAGAAAATTCCTCCTTATTTTTAGATTGAATCTTTCCTTGTTCTTGACAGGATTAGGCCAGGGAAGAAGTTTTAAAAATGTTAATACAGAGCAGGAGTTTCTTGTCAGAGTTCTTATGTCTTTTTAAATATACCTTCTAATTGGCAGAATTGTTTTTATTAATTTGGAATAGGGTTGCAATGCTGTTTCTATGTTTATGTATTTTGATCCTGAATTTTCAGCATTTAAGTGTTAGCTTACAGTATTAGACTGTAAAGATTTCAAATTATCTTGTAACTGTATGGCTTGTATGTGATGGAGCACCCACAATTTCTGAAGGCAAGCTGTTCCATTGGTTGATAGGTCTCATCCTTAGGAAATTACTTCTTAGTCCTAGCTTGCTTCTCTCTTTGGTTAGTTTCCATCCATTGTTTCTTGTCATGTCTTTTGGTGCTTTGGAAAATAGTTTGACCCCCTCATTTTTGTAGGAGCCCCTCAAATTTCCTGACAGAACAATTAATCAGTGGAACAACTTGTCTCCAGAAGTTGTAAATGCTCCAACACTGGAAGTTTTAAAGAAGAGATTGGATAACTATTTGTCTGACGTGATGTAGGGTTTCCTGCCTAAGCAAGGGGTTGGATTAGAAGACCTCTGTTATTTTATTCTGTTCTGTTCTGTTCTATTAAATTCCTATATATTGGAACAATGCTATTTTATTGTGCTATTTTATTGTGAGTTGGACTAAGGAAAAATTTTCTAAGGGTAAGACCAATAAAGTTGGCCACGCCCACCCAGTCACATGACCACCCAGCCACGCCCAGCCAGCCGGTCATTAGGGCAGAGAACCAGTTGTTAAATTATTTGAATCCCACCACTGACCATGCCCCCCGTCCCACCCCAACTATTGAAATTTCCAATTTGGATCAAACATCCACTTTTTGGGGTCTGTATTAACTTTGATTGGTTGCTAAATGACTGGTTGTAAGTCAAGGACTACCTGTATAGGAGCTCTGAAAAAGGCAAATTCCATGCCAGGAAATCTGATGGAATTGAAAATAAATACGTCAACATTGTAATTTCTTTATACAAATTTGTGGTACCTCAACCTTGAGAGTAATGTGAAGAGTTATAATTGTCATGTCTGAGAAAAGGATTTAAAAGATCTGGGATGTCAAACCGGAGCAACCAAAACTATCTATACAAGGAAAGAATGAATGCTTAGAAATCATTAATTTAAAGAGAAAAAAAAAGAAAGAAAACCAGGCGGGAACATTATCAAGGTATCTAAAATCAATTCCTGACAAATGATTCTGTAAGTAGCAGGAGGTTTGAAACCAGCTTTCCACAGGCAGGCATCCCAGGTGACCAAATACAGAGAAGACAATGAAGAACAAAGGATGCCTGTTATCACGTTCAATGTATGCGCCGGTCACAATTGCCCTGCCTGGTTGATTGCACAGGATTGTTAAAAGAATGAAATGAAAGAAAGAGAAGTGAACAGGGTTGAACTCCTGGAAGAAAACCGTAATATAAATACAATGAATAAAATAAAATAATGTGTTTTTGATCAGATGGAAAACTAAAATGCAGTAGTTCTAAATCCTAGGTTGCCTCTAAACTGGGAAAACAAACTATACTGCTCAAAAAAATAAAGGGAATACAAGCAGAAAACATCCGAGATCGGAATGAATGAAATAGTCTTATTAAATACTTTGTTCTTTACATATAGTAGTTTATACACTGCTCAAACAACTAAAGGGAGCACAAAACTACTGCATGTAACGAACAAAGTATTTAATAAGACTATTTTATTCATTCAGATCTCGGATGTTTTCTGCTTGTGTTCCCTTTATTTTTTTGAGCAGTGTATGTTTGTTTTATGAGGAGGGTGGGGGGAAACAGGAGGTGGAAGGAGTATTATGCAAGTTCATTGCCTTGAGTTAGTAATAAAAGGAGGATAAAAATCTAATAAATAATATAGCATGCTAAACAGGGAACCAATACACACACACACACAATACCTGAATCACCAGATGAGGGATTTCACTGGATGGCTTCAAGTAATCCTCTTCTTCCTCCAACAAAAAATGAGGCACAATGCTGTTTTCTATCCAGGTCCCTGTCTTCTCCAAAGCTGAAAGATAATCCTGTTCTTCAGAGACAAACTGTTAAGAGAAAGAAACGTACTGTATTTTTCAGAGTATAAAACGTACTTTCCCCCCCCTAAAAGTGGATACACCGAATGTAGCCCTGCCCACCCACTGGCCCCCACCCTTTTGCCTCTGCCTCCCATCAGTTTACCTCCTTGCAGCAAACAGCAAAAAGAAACAGCCCATTTCAGCTTCAGCACAGCCTAATTAGCACAAGTTGATTGGATTGGCCTCCAGACTTTCAGCTGTTATGCTCTCTGCTGTTTTGCGCAGGGCTCTGCTGCTTGCTGCAAAGAGGTAAATTGCTGGAGCAATTTTTTTTCCCCTTGTTTTAATCAAGCTATGCTGAAAATGAAAATAAAGCAGGCTGTTTGCTGCAACGAGGCAAAATTGCTGGGAGGCAGAGGCAGATTTCTTTTTCTTGTTTTCCTCACCAAAAAAGGTAGGTGCATCTTATAGTCCGGTGCGTCTTATACTCGGTAAAATACGGTACCCAGTTACAATGGAGTTTCAGGGTTTAAGATTCATTCTACTCAAATGGATAAGAGCTCTTTGACTTACGGTACCTTATGTAAAAGATGTATATTGAATCTACAGTAGAGGCTGAAGGCTCTCACTGCCGTTGCTTGATAAAGGCCACAATATTCCAGGTTGCATCCTTGAATATAAGAATCTAGCGCATCCTACAAATTGGGAGAAGAAATATTAATGTTTAATATTAACTTAAATTATATAGTTAAATATTTAAACTCTCTCTTTAAATAAAATAAAATTTTAAAAAATCCTACTGTAGATATGTGGTTTGAAATATTGGTCATCTTTCCTGTTTCGTTCAAATTTGTAGGCATTTTATTTATTTCAAAATGTTTTATATTGTCTTTTGAAACAGAAACATCCACTATTCCAACACTTAAAAGTATATAAAGCTGGGATTGCATTTGATGGGGGTTGATTTTTAATTTTTGCTTTTGATTTTAACGGCAATGACCTTGGTGTTAAGCTTTATATTCTCAAGTTCCCTAATTGCAATAGAGCTTGATTGTTTTTATAAGCAGCAGGGTGGCTGCCCATTTAATAATAAAGAAACTGGGAGTGAGCTGGACAGACTGCTTTTCTTCTAGCGGATGATTTTGTAGGATGTAGCCAGTTCAGTGCCATTTTTTTTTTAAATTTGATTTATATGCCGCCCTTCTCCGGAGACTCAGGGCGGCTTACAGTATGTTAAGCAATAGCCTTCATACTTTTGTATAGTTTATACAAAGTCAGCTTATTGCCCCCACAAACTGGGTCCTCAATTTACCTACCTTAGAAAGGATGGAAGGCTGAGTCAACCTTGAGCCTGGCAAGATTCGAACTTACTTTAATTGCAGACAGCTGGTGTTAAATTGCAGTGCCTTGTCTGCAGAGCTATCCAGGCCATTGATGCAAAAGGTCAGTGTAATGGGTTTGCTTTTGAAATGGAGGTTTCTTCTCCCTCCCCAAATCCTTGCGCCTCCACCACGTTTTTAAAAAGAGGGGAAAGAAGATAATGACTGAGCCCCATCCAAGAGGAAAATGTTCTGCCCATGCAGGATTTTTCTGTACCTCTCAGTATCATGTCCACCCACAGCCACTTTATTATCATCCTAGCACAAAACAAATTTCACACCACCAACCTGGATATAAATATCCAATCTGACATCCAATTAGTTCAATGTTCAATAAACAAATCCAACATTAATGCACTGCGGAGTTTTAAGATACGTTCATTTTATAAAGAAGTACGAATGTCATTTTGAAGTTATTCTCATGGCAGCGCATTCCAGTCCCTGTGTAGCAATAGCACTTAGACTTTTTGCCGCTTTACAGTGCTTCACAGCCATCTCTAAGCAGTTTACAGAGTTAGCCTATTGTCCCCAACAACCTGGGTCCTCATTTTACCAAATGGATTGTAGGAGGATGGAAGGATGGAAGGATGAATCAACCTTGAGCCAGTGAGATTTGAACTGCCGAACTGCTGGCAACAGACAGTCAGCAGAAATAGCTGCAGTATTACATTCTAACCACTGTGCCACCACGGCTCTGTGTAAAGGCGAACACCAGATTGGAGCCAGCAGCACAAAAGATATTCCCTTTGGGATCTTTGCTCTACATGGCCAGGTAATGTTACCTAAATCACTACTGCCCCATAGTGGCACACATACTGGGCACAGGGAATGAGCCCTTTTTATGAAGAGCAATAGACATGTGTCAATTGACTGTTTGCAACATTTGTTGGAAGAAACTGCTTAAAACTTTATTAAGCATTTATGGGATGAATAGAGATAATCCTCAATTTATAATCATTTCTTTAGCGACCATTTAAAATTATAAAGGCACTGGGGAAAAATGACTTATGAACTGTCCTCACACTTACAATCAGTGGTGAAATCCAAATTTTTTTACTACTAGTTCTGTGGGCATGGCTTGGTGGGTGTGGCGTGGTTTGGTGGGTGTGGCAGGGGAAGGATACTGCAAAATCCCCATTCCCTCCCCACTCCTGGGAGAAGGATATTGCAAAATCTCCATTCCCACCTTACTCTGGGGCCAGCCAGAGGTGGTATTTGCCAGTTCTCCGAACTGCTCAAAATTTCCGCTACCAGTTCTCCAGAACCTGTCAGAACCTGCTGGATTTCACCCCTGGATGCTTACGACCATCACAGATCCCTATGGTCGTGAGATCAGATTTGGGGTGCTTGGCAACCAGCATGTATTTACAATGGTGACAGCATCCTAGAACCATGCAATTACCATTTGCAACCTGACAAACGAAGTCAATGGAGGTGGCCAGATACACTTAGTGACTGCGTGATTTACTTGACAACTGCAGTGATTCATTTAACAGCCATGGCAAAAAAAAAAAAAAAGATTGTTAAGACTCACTTAACAACCACCTTTCCATTAGCAATGGAAATTCTGGGCCCGATTCTGGCCGTAAATCGAGTACTACCTAAAAAGGATATCCAGGAAGAAATCAGTTGCATCTAAAGAAAGCATTATTAGAAGAACCCGTTAGAACTGTTTCAGATGATTGTATAATAATGGTGGTGCTGACCTTTCCGCATTCAAGAACTCTCAGAAACTGGTCCAGTTTCTTTCTGGGGAGGGACAAAAGGCAGTTTCGGTTCATACAATGAGTCAGTAAATATTCTAAATAATCAAGGGCCAGTTCCGGTTTGGGCTCATCCGTTTCTTGGATTTGTACTCGCCGTTGAGTCTTATTAGTCTAAGAACAGGGAATAATATCCTTTTATTTGTAAGCATGAAATAGAGAACAATAAAACCAACCCACCCCAGAAGTTGCATAAATCTACGCAGCAAACCTTTCTATTCCTTGGCTCAGCCGTTATCCAATCACAGATTAATTCAAGGATATGTCCTATTTTGCCCCAGCGACACAGACAGTCAAGTAGGGTAGAATACTTCTTTTCAGTCACACCATTTTCCATGTTCTTCAGTTTTGAAATCACACCGCAACTGGCGACAAGTAGAGAAAAGGTGAGGTGTTCGATTAGATGAAAGAGAAAAATCTATTTCCAAAAAAAAAACAAAAAACTTTCCAGCCTTTTAGTTATAGAATTTTTCACTAATCAAACCTATAGAGCCCTCTTTTCAAAGAAGAGCTTTTGATCTACATTTTCGGCTTTACAAAATAATAAGCCATACCTGAATGTAGGAATAGCAGTAGGTGGGATGAAAGATGCCAAGATAATTATTGGAGACACACAACGATCATCCTGTGAGAAGCACACATACAAAATAAAACCCACTAGAAATCTTTGTTAAACAGAAGAATTGAGAGTACATCAAATGGCATCCCTGTATTTTAAAGAATAACAATAAGCTTTCAGAAAAATAAATCAGCAAGTGTGAGCTTGACACTTATTAAAGCATCTTCTTACACAGCAGCACTTACCCAATAATTTGGGCTGTCTACATAGTGCCACAAACATAAACTAACAACCCTATTGGAAATTACATTTGGTTTGGATGAAAATGTTCACAGCTGAATAATTGCTCTTAAAGGCATTTTCATAAAATTATAATTGTTCTGTATTTTAAAAAAAGAGCCTACTCATTTTAGCTCCATTAATAATAAAAGCTCTAGGCTGAAACATTATTCATGTCTTAAATTAGAATAAGATTTATCAAATGCAGATGAAGATTACAATTACTGTATCATATAAGAGGTATCTACAATGAGGTATAAGCAAAAGTGATTTCATGGAACACTGACAGAATTATTTTCCTTATTCCTGCCCACTGATCAAGAACTTCCTGTCTTTTTCACAATCCCAAAACTATGCTTCTCCCCACCCCAATCCCTAATTTGGGCCTAGTCAGAGATTGTGCTAGAAAATGCTACGGTTCTTATACTTTCAACTCTTTCATGAATGGCATTAAGTCTTTGCAATTCAGGCCATTATATTGGCAATGTTTTGCTAAGTTAAAGTCATGTGTTTAATGACAATATATAGATTGTTCCAGCTCATGGTAGCAAACATTATCAGATCTGAAACTAGTAATGTTATTTGATGTTTTGTTCTCAACTGTCAACCACAGTTGGATAATACTCACATAGAGAACAAATTAAGTCAATCTTATCTGACATTTACCGTAAATACTTTTAAATATACTGGTAGCACAGAAGCAAACTTTTGGACAATGTGATTCTTAGCTTCTTCATTGCAATCAAGCGGTTTCTGAATACTCCTCCAGAGAATTACAATAATTTCAAGGAAGCCAGCCATGGAAGGTATGTCATCAACCGAAAGTAAGTTATCTGTTACCTGAAATGCAGAATAGATTAAAATTAAGGAGGTGCCATTCCTAAATAATATGCCTCAAATTAAGGTTACTTTAAAAATGGAATAATATGTATGCTAAGAAGGCTTGCATTATTTAAGGGAGAATCAGTGCTCCTAGGGATGTTCCCAGGGAGAATTTTTAAAAAAGTCACAACCTGTATAATGGTATGTGAAAATAACCTTGGGAGACAGGAGGAAGAGCTGTAGACGAGGCAATGGTGTGACAAGCAGTATAAAGTCTGAGGAAGGATGGGGGCAAGCATCTTAGAAGAGACTCTCCCTAATTTCTTGGTCTGAAAAGTGAGAGGGGAAGAGATACAGGTAGTCCTCAATTTATGAACACAGCGGGCAAGAATTTCTGTAGTTAAGAAAGACAATTGTTCAATGAGTTGCACCCAATTTTACCTTTTTTGCCATGGTTTTAAACGAAGCACTGCAGCTGTTAAGTAATCCTACAGAAGTTAAGCCAATCTGTCTTCCTTCATTGGTTTTGCTTGTTGGGAGCTAGCTAGAAAGGTCACAAATGACGATCACATGACCGTGGGATGCTGCAACTGTCATAATTACATGCCAGTTGCCAAGTGCCTGAATTTTGATCACGTGACTGTGGGGATGCTACTACAATCATAGCTGCAAGGACCAATCACTCTTTTCAATGCCGCTATAACTCTGAACAGTTGCTAAATGAGAGATTGTAAATCATGGACTACCTCCATATTTTCAGACTTGCAAGATTCATGTCAGCCTTCTGACAAGAAGCAGACCCAGGAGCACCATCAATAACTTTATTTTAAGGATACATTAACGGAATCTTGTGTGAAGTAGATAGATAGATAGATCGATAGATCGATCGATCGATCGATAGATAGATAGATGGATGGATGGATGGATGGATGGATGGATGGATGGATGGATATAGAGATAGAGATAGATATAATAGGTAGATGATAGATAGATAGATAGATAGATAGATAGATAGATAGATAGATAGATAGATAGATAAAATTCTTAATTGGCCAAGTGTGATTGGACACACAAGGAATTTGTCTTTGGTGCATATGCTCTCAGTGTGCATAAAAGAAAAGATATATTCGTCAAGAATCATAAGGTACAACACTTAATGATAATCGTAAGGTACAAATAAGCAATCAAATCATACTAGGAAACAGTCAATATAAATCGTAAGGATACGGCAACAAGTTACAGTCATACAGTCGTAAGTGGGAGGAGATGGGTGATAGGAACGATGAGAAGATTAATAGTAATAGTAATACAGACTTAGTGAATAGTTTGACAGTGTTGAGGGAATTATTTGTTTAGCAGAGTGATGGCATTCAGGAAAAAAACTGTCCTTGTGTCTAGTTGTTCTGGAATGCAGTGCTCTATACTGTCGTTTTGCGGGTAGGAGTTGAAACAATTTATATCCAGATGCATATTTTCACAGCCCTCTTTGACTCATGCAGTATACAGGTCCTCAGTGGAAGGCAGGTTGATAGAAATAAGTTCATTGCCATCTCTAACAAACCAGCAATGAATTATATATCTTGTGTGAATTATGCATCTTGATGATATCACAAGTCATCGTCACACAAGATATATAATTCATACCATCACCTTCTTGTTGATACCGATATCATCTTGATATATATTATAGAAGAAAGTAAATGAACAGGTGGATGACATCAAAATCATAGCCTATATCAGCTTGCTATCATGATTGCCAAAGGCAGTGTTGATTGGGAATTTTTATTCATAAAAAAATAAAATTATTAACTAACACTCATCAAAAATAACATAATGGCCCACAGACATTCCTGCTAGGCTATGCACTATGTCACAACTCATGAAGTTGCTACTCACTCAGGACAAGATTGAAATTTAAACAAACCCTTTAATGCAATTTATGTAAGAACCTCTCCGAAATGGAAGTCTGTAATGCTGAGAAACATTTTCATTAGATAAAGCAGCAAAATATGCTAGCTGTATTAATCGATAGAACATCATAAATCCAAGCCAGTTGTCATAAAACCATTTTCGATTAAAACACTGATCTTACAGTCATGTTTTCTTTCTCATTGTTCTCATCTCCACTCTCAGATTCCTTTAATTGCTGTTGGATAGAGCTGTTCAAACAATTCCGAATGGCAAGCATGAGTTTAGCTGGAATTAAAGAACAAAGTATCTCAGTTATGAAAAATGACACGTGTCAGTGTGGACAGTAAAGCTACTGGCCCAAATATTGCTTCATTTAAAAAGTAGCATAGTATATGTACACTTCAGCAAAATAAATAAAAGCAATTTAATAAATGCAAAACCATATCAAAATTTAAATGTTAAATGTAGTTAACTCTCAATAACTAATATGTTGAGGAAAAGTTAACTACTATTTTCATTTAAAAATAAGCCTGTCCAGTAATTAGTGCTGGTGATTACCTATAAAGCCCTACATAGCTTAGGCCCGGAGTATCTGGCGGATCACCTGCAGCAACAGCTCCCCATCGCCCGGTGCGCTCACAGAGAGAGGGCCTACTTGGGGTTCCGTTGGCCAAGCAATGTCAGCTGAAGGCTCCTAGAGAGCGAGCCTTCTCCAGAGCCTACCCTCTGGAATCAGCTCCCCTTGGAGCTCCGGGTGGCCCCCGACCTTTGCTCTTTCCACCGTGACCTTAAATGGTTGTTTCGCCAGGCTGGCCTGGACTGAAGGGGTTTTAATGGGAATTTTAGATTTTATTGTTTGAATTTTAATTTGGACTTGTTGTTGCTTATTGCTGTGAGCTGCCCTGAGTCCTTGTGGAGAAAGGGCGGCATATAAATCCGATAAATAAATAAATAAATTAGCACCTTTTATGCATGCATTACAATCAAGTTATTCTTTAGCCCAGAATTCTTCAGAAACAATTACTGTCCCTGGTCAGTTTCAAAAAAGCAAGAGGACTGAATGTGTGGAAATATAAGTCTTCAACATACAAGCGTGATGGAACATGTCCATTACAGTCGTAAGTCATAAGAGTCATGAAATAGGTCAGTCACATGGCTAATGATTTTACAATGCTTTTGCGGCAGTTGTTAAGCAAAGTCTGTGGTGGTGAGTGCGAATACCACAATCATTAAGTTAACACTATAGTTGTTGAGCAAGCCCATTGTTCTCTATGTCATGATTCCACAGCAAAACCATTGTAACATGTGGTCACGTGACTGCAGGATGCTGCAAAAGGTCATAAATATGGACATGTTGCTAAGGGCATGAAATGTGGTCATGCGACTACAGGAGGGGGGGAGAGTAGGTCAAAATTAGTCATTAGCTCACTAAGTGATCAGCCGCAAATCAAGAACTACTTGTAACACACCAAGCGTTCCATATCCCAGGTCAACATCTCAAAGGTTGCTTTCTACACAATTACCTATATTGGTGGGACTAGTGTACTTGTGAGCGTATTGATAGAATGTTCTAGCTGCAGATGCATTCATTTGGATGAGTGTCACACAGCGTTCACACCACACTTCTGGTTGATTGATGGGCAAGAAAGAGCTGATCAGAAGATTTACTAGCCGCCGGGACACTGGCTGTGAATCAATCTCAAGGCGAGTCAAGAGGTGCTCTACAGGACAAATTTTCCAAAACTGATTGGAGAGGACGGGAATGGGAGAGAAACAAAGTGATTGTGATTAGATTTGATAGTCGAAGTACCTTCAGATGAACTTCCTGCTGAATAATTATATGAAATCCTGCATTCTTGCACAAGTTCATAAGTTGTCTCATCCATCCACACATTTTTACAAACCTATCCCTTGAAAAGCACCCCTCATTTTGCAACATCAATTTGTCTTTTACTACTCAGGAATCAATCTGCCTTTTATCTGCCTTTATCTGCATTGTACTCATTGATTTTAGATTAGCCACTTGCAGACAGAACATCAGAGCAGTATTATATCAATGTCCAACATAGAACTGATACTGTAGGCAGATCAGAGGTGATATTCAGCGGGTTCAGACCGGTTCACCCAAACCGGGTAGGCGGTTTGGCCCTGCAGATGGGCCTGCCCGTCACTATGTTGTCCCATTTAGGCACATTTTCAAGCCGCATGCATGCGTGCAAGCCGCGTGCACAAGCAAAGCACGTACGCGGAAGACCGTGCATATGAGTGGACATGTGCACTCACATTTGCAAACTGGTAGAGAAAGTAAGTGAATACCACCCGATGCAGATAGTTCTCGACTTATGACAATTAGAACCAGAACTTCAGTAGCTAAGTGAGATGATACCTGTGTCTGATTTTATGAACTTTTTGGCCACAGTTGTTAAGCAAATCATGTGGTTGTTGAACAAATCCAGTTTCTTCCACCGACATTGCTTACAATGTCACTGCTACAGAAGTCACAAATGGCAATCACATGACCCTGGAACACTGCAACTGTTGTAAATACATGCTAAGTGTCCAAATTTTAAACATGTGACCATGGGGATGCTGCAACGGTCATGTGAGAACGTAGGTGTAAGATACTTTTTTCACTTCCATTGTAACTAAATGAACAGTTGTAAGTCAAGTACTACCTGTAATTGGGGACTACCTATATTAAATAGGAAAATGCTTTGTTTTCCAACCATGGATTAAAATAACTAATCATTTGTTCCTTTACAGCCAGAATTCTTTTGATATTGCCTTGGCCAAGATAGCCTATATTTAAGCAAGGAATACTTCAGACTTTGCACTCCGACTCCAAAATCGATTCATTGTTCAGAATTACAGTAGTGGCCAAAATTGTGGAAGCCTTTTGGGAGAAGTGTATTTTTGAGTTTGATGGCTAATAACACCACTTTTTTGGGGGGGAGTTTCAAGATAATCATATTCTACTGCTGGAATGGCCTGGGAATAGCCCAGATTTTAACCCAATTGAAAATCTATGGAGCCGACTAAAGAAACTTGTGAGTCAGAAGCGACCCAGCAATAAAATCCAGTTAATAGAAGCAATCCTTCAATCTTGGTTTCACATTATAACAGCTGCAGAAATAAAAGACTTGGTTCACTCCATGGGAAGATGTTTTAAGGCCGTAATTCATGCTAAAAGGTTACCCAACTAAGTATTAATTGACATGGTGATCATTTTTGTATATCTCGTTTTTTCTATGGCAATAATTTTTTATATCTCGTTTTTTCTATGTGTTTCACTTTTCTTCTTTATACTGTAACTGCTCTTCTAATAGCAAATCCTTCATAAAAATTATTGCATTGCATTCTTGATTAAATTATCTTTCCACTGATATATAATTTTATGATACTACTCCAAAAAAATAAAAGTGGTGTTATTAGCTAGTTTTAGAAAATACACTTTTCCCAAAAGGTTTCCACAGTTTTGGCCACTATTGTTAAGTACTATACAGCTATACTAGAATAATTACACATCTTCCAGGAATGAGGTCTGAACCATAGAGACTTCTATTAGACAGAATATTTTACTGATCTGATCTTCATTGATCTGGTTTGTTGATGTAGAGAATAAATCAACAATACAATCCTGACTTATTTTCTGCCATCTCAGGCTATTCAGTGACATCTCAAACTCATGCCATCCCTTCGGCAGGATGCTACTTCGCAGCTAAAGAAAAAAAAAAATCTCTTGCAAAGAAAGAGCACATGATTTCAAAAAATAAATCATCAGAATATAATCAAATGCTACCATTTAGCTGTTACTTTACTACTGGGCCAGCCATAACTGCTAGCAAAACTACAGGGAAGAAAGAATATTATAAGTTCTTTCTTATTGATTAATTTAAAAACGTAACAATGGCAAATTGTTTGGGCTGAAATGTTAATGAATTCTTTGGACTATTTTCCTTTTAAAATATTGATGAATGCACACACTTCAGAATAAATTGCCTAGTTTTTTATGCCTTCTGTTGCAGCCTAGCAAACTAATTTATCCCACCTTTGCAGCCTTCGTAGCCTTAATTTTCAGCAACATATCAACGAAAGCCACCCTAACTTTCTCTGAATTGTCATGGAGATTGTATTTCAGGGTTGGCAGAAGCTGTTCCAGTAATGGGTGGCTCAGTATATTGTCCAAAATTATAGGCAAGCACTGGAAGAGAAACAGAAAAATATCAATAAAAGGTTATCACAACAGGGCTACTTGCATTGAATCTATTCTAACTGCCAAATACCTGAAGCTAAGAGGACAGAAGCTGGGGAATGAAAAAGAGCAAGACAATCCATTATTATTAAACATGTCATTTAAATGCAAAGTAGCATGAGGGGTGATGATACAAATTCTCTATTAATATTCCTTCAAAGAATGTGCTGCTAAAGCAGAACAAAGAGATCAGATATACAGAAGAAGGAATCTAGAACTAATGATTTTAGATGGTTCTCTGTCCAGTTGATGTTTTATTTCAGGTTAAAGTGCCCATTGATCCAGAGTTCTTGAAATAATGTTGCTTAGATATTAGATATTAAAATTCTAATGAAATATAGCACTTTTTCACAATTCACCAACCCTTTGCAGCATGCTTACGATTTATGAAAAGGGTGTCAAACTGGCAGCTCGCAGGCCGGATGCATCACGCACAGGCCACGCCCACCTTATCTCCGCAAATGGGAAAAACATCACAAAATGACACATGACAGCAACATGACGCCGCGAGTTTTGACACCCATGATTTGCGATGTGCTTCCCTTGGCCCTACTTTGAAGATTTTTCTTTTTCTTAAAAAGGAAACGATACTCAACTATGCTGCAATACTCAACATAGGAAGGTGAGTATTATAGATTCATCTTAGCGAGTGGAAGCTTAATTACACTCATCATTCAAGAGCATCAGCTTTGACGATAACTTTCCTAAACAAAGACCGTCAGTTGGGTAATGAAAGGTATGCAAAAAAAAAAAAACAAACAAACAAACTCAGAGAGCAACAAGGACCCCAAAGATCAACTTGCTGCGATAGTCTGCACTTAGATCAAGGGTGTCGAACTGGATTTCTTCAAGAGCCAGATCAGCATTGTAGTTCACCTCCGGGGGCCAGCCATCTTGGGGAGCGAAAGAGACGGGATGGCCTCCTGCAGCACCCTGCCAGCCAAAATGTTTTGGCCGGCAGAGTACTGCAGTAGGCCGTCCAGGCCGAAAACGCAAGCACACCCACACCCTGTTTTTGCTGCCAGAGGCACCGCAGGCCGGACCTTTGCTATTTCCAGGGCGGCCCTGTGGATCAGCACCCCACAGTCTGCATTCGGCCCACGGTCCTTGAGTTTGACACCCCTGACTTGGATAATATAGCATTTTGTATCTATTGCAGCAAACCAACATCCATAACCAGAATTTGATGCTGTGCAAGACACAGCTTGCAATGTTAGCATCAAACGTTATTTGATGCTAACCAGAAGCTACTAGAGTCCTCATCTTACAATCATTCGTCTAATGACTGTTCAAAATTACAATAGCACTAGAAAAAGTGACTTACAACTAGTCCTCAGCCTTACGACCACTGCAGGATCCCCAAGGTCATATGATCATAATTGAGGCACTTGGCAACTAACATGTATTTATGGCAGCTGCAATGTCTTGGGTTATGTGACTGCCATTTGTAACCTTCCCAGCCGGCTTCCAATCATTTGGGGAAGTTTGAATCGCTTAACGACTGCATGATTGATTTAATAACTGCAGTAAATCACTTAACAACCATGGCAAAAAGGTCATAAAATCGAGTGGAACTCGATTAACAATTGCCTTGCTTAGCAATGGAAATGATGGTCCCAATTGTGGCCATAAATTGAGGACTAGCTGTACATGCAATCTAAAGTTAAATAAGAAGATACTTTATTTACTCCCTTACTTTAAAAACGGCACATCGGACATCAGCTGAACTTGCATCAAAAGCAAGATGTTCAATCAAAGTTTTCAGAAGTTCAGCAAGCACTGCTGCCGGAATCATCTCCCAATATTTAGATGTTATTTTACCAACTCCAAGTATTCCTGTTGAGCGGATTATGGGTTGAGGATCTTCTAAGATAGCCTGTAAATACAATTCAAGTAAACAGCAACAATACTATGATATTCACTCTATTTTGCATTTAAGTTATTTGGCAAACAAAAATGCTGGAAACTATCTCAAGATTAACTTGAATTCGTTTCATGTTCTGGAATCTTTCCATTAGCAAAAGAAACAATAAGCAAGTGGGAAAAAATAAGCTTCCTTTTCTGCAGTTCTACAAATCTGATCTGGAAAATTCAGGGATTACCCCTTGAAGTAGATCGAAGGAACTGCTAGAGGCTACATGGAAAAGAGAAGGAAAGTGCTTATAATTCTGGATATTCTCCAACATTTTTAGACATACTGTACTAAAGTTTTGTAGCCTACCATACTTATAGAATATTTGAGCTCCCATAGTATGAAATATACTTATATATCAGAACCAATAAACATTGGAGGTTTTTAAGAAGGGATTGGACAATCATTTCCTTCCGTCGCGAGCTGAAGACATGGCTCTTCCGTCAACTCAACTGATTCATTGGGTGTACACTGTTATAATTTTAAACTGTTTTAATTGGGGTGGTGTTGATTTTATTTTTTATCTTGTTGTGATTTGTATTGGAAATTGTCATTTTGTAAGCCGCTTTGAGTCCCTCGGGAGAAAGGCGGCATATAAATCGCAATAATAAATAAATAATAAATAAATTTCTCTCAAATAGTACAGGGTTTCCCGCATGAGCAGGGGTTGGACTAGAAGACCTCGAAGGTCCCTTCCAACTCTTGTTATTCTGTTATACAGTAACTTTCTGTATCTCCAAAATATCTCATAATCTGTACTTTATTTGTTACTAAGATGCTCATTAGAAATTTAGATTTTGAATCAAGAAGTTATAACTACTTCGTGAAGAATGAAATAGTATTCAGTATTCGGCTGATAAGTTTTGGGTGTAGTTCCCATGCTAAAAAATATAGCATTATTCATGTATATCACCCTACTTTTCCTTTGAAGTATGCAGAATAAGAAAATCTAATTGACAATGACAAGAGGAGGAGAGGAGAGGAGAGGAGAGGAGAGGAGAGGAGAGGAGAGGAGAGAACTATCCAGATAATGAGACACACAAAAATTAAATAAAACTGATCCAAAGTTCATAGGAAAAATTTAAAAAGTACTTACAAAAAGTTCATCAAATTGCCTCTGGATTTCTTTTTCCATATCATTTTTGTTAAAACTGGGATCCAGAATAGGGAATGCATCACCAAAAAGTAGTGCTGCATTTGAACGAATCTCAGAATTCCTGGCCTGATAAAATACATGTACAACAGCAAAAGTTTGAATTAAATTTAGTCTAGCTTTTGAAAATTATCCAGACGAAAGCATGACAGTCTGAGAGAAATAAATTACCTTCAAAGCTCTCCATAGTATAGGTTGATAAAGTCTATAAAGAACTTCTTCGACTCCTTGGCGACATTTATTTTGTTTGTGGAAATAGCTCAGCATCTAATACACAAAGATAAATTAAAATGATTTAAGAGATTAGCTCCAGACGATTTTATTCAGCTCCTTGCAAAATATGACACACATGATAACTGTTGTGGCCCCGCCCTCTGAGCCTGTCCCATCGGAGGAAGAAAGCTCCGAGCATGAGGAAGAGGAGTCAGCCAGGCCTCCCTCTCCAGGGCCCTCCCCTCTGGCATTGTCTCAAGTGCCGGCCGAGGGAGAAGAGACAGCTGATTCGAATCAAAGTGATAATGAAACATCATTCCTGGACGCACGCCTCCGAAGGCGTGATAAACGTTTGCAGCAGCTTGGGAGGCGTGCTAGGGATTAGAACTGAGTCACTGGACCACACCCCAGAGACTATATAATAGAGGGTAGTGGTCAAGGATCTTTTGTGACGAACAAAGTAAACCTTGGACAGTCACTAAAGCCTCATCCGGAACTGCTGGGAGGAATATTATTTCTGTTTGGACTTTCTTGAACGTTCGTATCTTATCTGTCTGTTTGTGAAAATAAAGTCCCTTGGCAGACAGTGTGTCTATCGCTGCCAAGAGGGAGATAAGAACTGGGTGCGTTCCAAAGTGTTTCCTTAACCCTCGGCTGGCTGTGTTGTGTGTGTGTGGGGACGGGGACAGATCAGATACCTATATATGAAATGCACAATGTTCTGCAGCAAAATAGATCTCTAACATGTATATGGTATATATTTGCTTTCCCTCTCAAGTAATATACATAAATGAAATACAGGTGGGTCAACCAGCAAGAGAATCTCACACAACTAAGTCTTGGTAGCCAAGCAGCCTTTCCATCTGCTCCATGACAGACTGTTCTAAATCAAAGATCCTTTCAAAACTGATGTTGGGAAGGAATCCCAAAAGATGGTCTGAAAGAATGGCTTGAAATAACAAACGCCTCACCTCTCGCACTTTACTGTGTAGCGGGGACTTCCGGGGAAGATGAACTGCATGATGCATGAAATCCTGAATGCAGCTGTATTCAATTACCTGAAATAAGAATATACATCCTACTTAATATTCAAAAGTTGAAAAAAGCACTTTAAAGAAACAATCATATTATACTGACTTCCAACTTGCATCCACAATGCCCCCTACAAAGCCCCTTAACACTGGGTCAAGAAATCTTCAGGGAAGCCCCTTTTTTTGAATCAATTTAACTATAGATCCATGATGGCGAACCTATGGCACGCGTGCCACGGGTGGCACATGGAGCCATATCGGTGGGCACACGAGCTCAGCTCTGGCGCGCATGCGAGCACTGGCCAGCTGATTCTCGGGCCTTCTGGGCCCACCAGGAGTTGGGAAACAAGCTGTTTCCGGCCTCTGGAGGCGTCCAGGGCGTGGGGAAGGCCATTTTCACCCTACCCAGGCTCCTAGAAAGGCTCTGGAGCCTGGGGAGGGTGAAAAACAGGCCTACCGGGCCCACTGTGTCATCACGTGCCAAAAGCAGAGGGAGTGCGGGGGGTTGCACACACATGTACAGGGGGGGCGGGGCACATAGAATTATGGGTGTGGGACATGTGTGCGACCCCCCCGCGCGACCCCCGCTTTTGGCACACAATGGCAAAAAGGTTAGCCATCACTGCTATAGGTAATCTTCAACTTACAACCATAATGGAGCCTCCCCATTACGGTCCTAAGTCATAATAGTCGTAAAACAGATCAGTAACACAAACAACCCCATTTTACGTTCTTTGCAGCAGTTATTAAGCAAACACCGTGGTTATAAGTGTGATCGTCACAGACATTAAGCAAAACCGTTGTTTGCTATGGTGTGGCTTTGCTAAAAACCAGAAGTGTCAACAAGTGTTGTAAAATGCGATCAGATGACTGTGGGGCATTGCAAATGGGCTTAAATGCTCAGGAGGGGACCATCAAAAATTGGGATGTGATTTCAGATAGGTTGTAACCTCAAGCAGTCACTAAGCGAACAGTCAGTCGCAAGTCAAGGACTGCCTGTATGCCTTGAGCCTGTGTCTTCTGAAATATATTTACTAGGGACAATTTCATTTCTCTTCTATTTTAGGACATTTATTTTGCCTTTTTGCAAAAATGTTGAAACCTCCTTTATTAAGTATCTCCTTTTTATTGAATTGTTTTAGAGTACTTCAGGTAATACTGCTCTGTAATAGCTTGACCACATTTTAAATTTTTATCTAGCTTATTTTACTGTGTTTCCCCGAAAATAAGACCTCCCCAAAAACATTTAAACGCATGCTCAGCTGTTCCCCACTATTTCCTCTGGTTAGGGAGACAGAGCTGGAAATCAGATAAATGACAAGAGGAGTCCCGTCTTGCTCCACGCACCCCAAAATAATAAGACCACCCCGAAAATAAGGCCAAGCGCTTATTTCAGGGTTCAAAAAAATAACATGTGGTTCAGGGTTCAAAAAAATAACATGTTAGTAGTTTAGTTTGGGGCTATTTATTCTTTTTCACTGAGCTATGGGAAAGACAGGTAGACTTCCACTTACGACAGATTAATTAGAGATTGTTCAAAGTTCCAATCGACTCCTTGGGAATATTTATGACCCAGTTCTGAAGTTCTGAGGGCTGCAGTCACAGGACCACAAGCAGGTGTTCGGCAACCAGCCTCCATTTAATGGCCATTTGCAGCACCCCACATTCATGTGTCCACGTTTTACGTTTTTGCTGAAAAACGGGCATTATTCCGGTTTTCAGCAAAACCGTCCCCATAGGGAGCAATGAGCTCACTTTATGACCACAGAATTCACTTAACAACCACCACAAAAAAAATGCTGTAAAATTGGATCAGTGGTATGTTGACCAGCTTTATGATCGTCACGACTCACAATCGTAATGGTCAGGCTCCATTACTGCCATAATTTAAGCACTACATGTAATCGTCGATCGGCAGGAAGTATCTATTCATCTACCATGCTACCACAGAAGTCACTCACCTAAACTTCAACTTATTGTTGTGGCCCGTCAGCGGCCTATGCAACTAGTAGCTGATTCCGACAGCGAGGAGGCTGGTGTGGTGCTGCGCCAGCAGCCTGTGCAGCTGGCACTTGAGTCAGACAATGAGGAGGCTGGAGAAGATGTGGTGCCAGAGGCGGGGATTCAGCCAGGGCCTTCAGAACCTCCAGAAGCTCCCATAAGTGAAGAGGAAGAAGAGGAGGAGCCTATTCTCGATGCACGAGCGTGCAGAGCTGCCAAAAGGCAGGAGTGGCTCCTCGGAAGGAGGTCTCCTCGAGAGTAAGGTTTGGGGCTACTCCCTTAGCCTATTTAAGGAAGGACGAAGACTGAGGCAATTTGCAGGGAACAACTTAGTTCACTCTCCTTCGTGTCTTGATCTTAGTTTTTTTATCAGTTTCCTGCAAATGGCTTCTGGGCTTTCTGCCAATCCTGGTAAGATTACGATTATTTATTCTTTGGATTCTTGTAGGCTGTTAAGAAAGTTTATTAACAGCCTTTGTTTGAAAAAGACTGATTTAATTTAGTAAACTAAGGTTTGTACAGACTTTGTGTGTGCTGCGTTCTTTGGGGTCCGTAGCTGGGGCAGAACACTTACTTAGGTTTAATGCTTAAATCTAAGCATTAGATTAATGCTTAAATCTAAACCACAGTTAGAGCATCATAGAAGGCTCAAGAAACATTTGGGGCTCTGAAGATGTGTCAGCAGTACCATTCCAAAATAGTTACCCAAGGACAGAACTATTTACAATTCAGGAGTTCATCTTTTTTTACCTATGTTTTAAGGAACTACCTTGAAATTTTTTAAAAAATTGCTTTTCCCCTGGTAGAGGCTGGGCGTTCATCCCTATCAAATAGTAAAGAACCTAGCAAAATGTCTTTGCTATTATCTGGCATGTAGAAAATCCTCAGGTTATGACTGGCAACCATTTGAAATTACAACAGACCTCCTTGGAGGTACTTACAATCATTGTACAAAAGAGACTTTGATTGCATGATCAGCGCCATCATTTTAATCACCCTCCTTCCAGATTCCCTGCGACCCACACTGGGGACAAGCCATCATTTGTTCTCATCAGTCCCCCTTTTAAAAGTAACAGCGGCCAATTTTCCTAAAAGTTCTTTTGTAGAGAAAATAAAGTTCTGCAATATTCATATCCAGCTTTTTATATATATATATATCCAGGATGGCATTTAAGATTGATTTGGGGGCCTAGATTTCCAGCAAAGTTTCAATTCATGTAATGTTAAGCCAAATTTGTTTTAACCATGGTTTATTGAATAAGCCCCAAAAGAAGGTATTAGAATATTTTAGAACACTTAGAAATCCATGTCCTAAAACCCCAAATACATTGTATTCATACCAATATCCATTCAAATGCATGTTACATGAATCCAGCTATTTGCCACTGACATACATATAAAGCAGGGGTGTCAAACTCGATTTCATTGAGAGCCGCATTAGGGTCGTTTGACCCAGGGTGTGTGTGACCAGGGTGTGTGTGTCCAGCATTGACATCACTTGTGTTGGGGGGGGGCTGTGGTGGCCCGAGCGCTCTGCCAGCGAAAACAGGCTCCCAATCTCTGTTTTCGGCTGGGCCGGCCTCCTGCAACCTTCTGCCAGAAAAAACGGAGCTTGTGGGGGAGGGGGGGCACGCGCAGCCCTCACAAGCTCTGTTTTTGCTGGCAGAGGCACTGCAGGCCGGGCCCTTGCTATTTCCAGGGGGGCCCTGCAGCACTCCACGGGCCAGATCCGGCCGCCGGGCCTTGAGTTTGACACCTCTGCTATAAAGTTATACACGGTAGGTAGTTCTCAACCCACAACCACAATTGGGAGAAAGATTTCTGTTGCTAAGCAACAGTGGTGGTTATTAAGTGAATCATGCTCAATTTTACAACTTTTTCGCTATGGTTGTTAAGCGAATCACTGCAGTTATGTGAATCACATGGCCGTTAAGCGAATTCATGTATTGACATTGCTTGTCAGAAGCCCCTGAGAAGATTGCAAATGGCGATCACATGACCCTGGGCACTGCAGCGATCACAAACACTTGCTCAATTTTGATCACATGAACATGGAGGTAAAAACATGTATAATCGTTTCTTTATTTTCCTTAAATCCATTTTGTAATTATTATAATTATTCTGAAACATACCTCTAGTATTTCCCCTGAACTCTTCTTCCAGGCTCTGAAGTAAACTTCAGCAACATGGTTCATCAGGGATCTGGGTCAGTAAAATAAAAGACACAGTACATTGAATTTAAAGACATTTATTTAGATTCAGAAGGCATCCAGGCCTTTTCCAATTTCTCTCCCTAAGTTAAAATTCTAGTTCAGCACTTTTGAGATCTGGTGGAATATAAAACAGTTTGGCTTAAGCCTCAGGTTTTTTTTTATTATATTCCCTATGGCCTCTAAAACTAAAAAGTGCTCTGTTCAAGTCTGTTCAACATCTCACTCTGCATCTTCTAATAATACGTTTATTTTCTAGTATTTGTGAACGCATCCTTCTAACGTTTTAGCTCTTCTACCTACTAATCACGGTTGAGATAAACCCTAGAAATATTTCGCAAGGCTCCTAAAGAAACAGCTACGTGTAAAGAAGCATTTGCCATCTTCATACATTCGCCATTTTAAGTACCCACAAAGGTAAAACGAATCTCTGTGCAGATGGAACACTAAACATTTCTCTGCAAGTTATTAGTGTGAGGGTGGAGGTTCATTCTCCGAGCTTGTGGGTTGGTTTCCCAATGTCTCATTATTCAGCACAGTTTAGGGCAGGGGTGAAATGCTCCCGGTTCGGACCAGATCACCCGATCCGGTAGCGATGGAGGCGGGTGGTTCAGAGAACCGGTAGCAAAAATCCCTGCCCCCCTCCCCATGCCCAGCTGAGCCGCACAATCATCAGAGGCTTTTTTTTTTTTAACTTTTAAAAGCATTTTTTCTACAACCTCTTCGGCCGAAAAAATGCTTTTAAAAGTAAAAAAAAAGCCTCTGCTTATCGCGCGGCTCTCAAAGGCTTTTAAAAGAAAAAAAGCCTCTGCTGATCAGGCAACTCAGCTGGGATCGTCAGAGCCTTTTGAAAGCATTTTTTTACAACCTCTTTGCCAAAGAGGTTGTAGAAAAAATTGTTTTAAAAGTAAAAAAAAAATGGCCACACCCACCCAGTCACATTACCCCACCACCACCAAGCCACGCCCACAGAACCGGTAGTAACAAATTTTAGATTTCACCACTGGTTTAGGGGATGTCAGTGTTCTTCTGTTTTTAAGGGCTTCAGATGTGGGTGTGTCAAGTGAGGGTCTTGTGATGGGTCAACTGTGAGTCTTCAGTGAGTCTTGTGATGGGTCTTGTGATAAGGACATCAGGTCAGGTCATTGGGAGGTGAACTGTTGGTGGTGGTGGTGGGCATTTGTGTGAGTTGGTTGAGGGTCGGTGCTGTCTCTGGTTGGCTGTGCAGTTGATTTGGATTCTGAGGGGTTCGTAGGCTGGTTGTAGGTCAATGTATCCATTGATGGAATTGTTTGTGGAGTGCCAGGCTTCAATGAACCCACAAGCGTGGTGGGTGGTAGCATGGTTGATTATTTTTGTGTTGCTCCAATCGACACACCCAGAACAGACACTGACATCCCCAAAACTCCACTGAAGATGTTACCTAGCCTGGTAGCGAAACATTTGGAAACCAATCCACAAGCTCAGAGAAAGAACCTTCACCTTCATCCTACACTTGAGCTACAGATATCTGCCACTATTGCAAAGTTATTAGTGTTTCAAATTGGTAAGCAAAGACCGGCAACGTGGCAAATTATACAGATGGCAGGACTTGCCCATGGCTGACACACCAGAATTTGGGAAACCCCCAACTCACCTTCCTGGTAGAAGAGAAACTTACCTAGGAAAACACAGGAGTTGATTTTTAATAGTCCCATGTATCAGCTTAATGAAATTTACATTCCATGTAAAAAGAAAGCTCAAGAATCTTCTCCCCTGGAAAAATAGCCAGACAATGTCACTTAAGTAGATATGAACTCTTTTAAACTCTGCACAGGTGGTCCTCAACTTACAACCATTTGTTTAAGTGACCAATGTTACAACTAAAAAAAGTGACTTATCACCATTTTTCACACTTATGACCACTGCAGCATCCTCATGGTCATGTGATCAAAATTCGGGGGTTTGGCAACTGGCATGCATTTATGACACTTACACTGTCCTGGGGCCATGTGATCACTATTTTTAACTTTTCCAGCTGACTTCCAGCTGAAGCTTCCAGCTGACTTCCAACTGAAGCAAACTCAATGGGGAAGCCAAATTCAATTAACATCCACATGATTCACTTAACAACTGCAGTAATTCGTTTAACAACTGTGTCACAAAAAAATTATAAAACGAGGCACAACTCTTACCAATTGCCTTGCTTAGCAAAAGAAATTTTGGGCTAAATTGTGGTCATAGGTCAAGGGCTACCTTCTACACTGTAGTATTCATATTGCTTCTGTTTATCTAAGACTAGAATCTTATATATTAAGGAAGGGGCATATGGCCTATTGACTTTGGACTTCATTCTTCAGTGAATATTATTAATACAAGTATCCTTCCTTTACAACCCGTTGTTTGACAACTATTTGAATTTATGATCGATTTCTCCCAGGCTACCGATAAGCCGGGTTTGAAGTTCCAATGGTTGGGGAAATGACTTAGACTTACATTAACTTTGTTGTCACTTTGAATGTACACTAATCAGCATACATTAAAATGAAATTTTGTCGCATACAGCTCTCAAAGGGTCACCACCTCCAATATACACTCCATAAACATGACAAAATAAATAAATACAAAATTTATGGATATACCCACATATATTATATGTCACGGAGAAACAACACAGTCTAGTTTGGATCAGGGTGGATAAAAATCAATGATTTTTTTAAAAAAATCAATAAAATCGGATTTTTTTTATTTAAATCGGATTTTTTTTATTTTTATTGAATTTATTTTAATAAAAAACTTTGGGGGTAAAAATCTATCATAAGATAGTTTTCTATTTAAGATACATAAATAATTTAGTTTATTCAGCATGAAATGGAGCTTAGTTATGTAGCATGAGGCTGTATATTCTGCAACACTGGGACTATCGGTGAGTCAACAGTGGGTCAAAGAAGTAGCAGAGATGACAGTTGCTCTTTAAAAATTATGATTTAAATCAAGTTGATTTAAATCAAGCCTTTTACCTAGTGATTTAAATCATGATTTAAATTGTGATTTAAATTAACTTGATTTAAATCAAATCCACCCTGGTTTGCATGTATACATGTACATGGTGAGAAAAACGAATCTTGCGAGTTTGCCAGACGGATGGCATAGGGAACAAAGCTGTTACAGAATCCGGAAGTCCTGCTAGAAATACTTCGAAACTCCTCCCAGAGGGGAGCAACAGAAACAGACCATGAAATGAGTGTGTGGGATTTCTAACAATGCTTTGAGCTCTAAGCACATAGCGCTTATAAGCAGTATTCTGAATAATGGGAAGCGAGCTTTCTATAATCTTCTCGGCTGTCCTTACCACTCTCTATATGGACTCTATCTGAGGCATTGCAGCCACCAAACTAAACAGGGATGCAGTTTGTTAAAACGCTCTCAATCGTGCCTCTAAAAAATGGCCAGGATAGAAGAAGAAACACGTGTTCTTCTCATCCAATGCAGGAAATGCAGACACTGGTTTGTCTATGGTCATGATTGCTTTTTGGGTGCTTTGGAAGCAGACTGCAATTATGGACATTTACAGCATCCTGCAGTCACATGACCATGATCTTATAACATTTTTTGGCCAGAAACCAGAGTTCACTTCCAGTTCCAAGCAAAAAATATCCATTGTAGAGAATAGGTTCACTTAACAACCTTAGCATCCACTTAAAAACTGCCACATTTGCTTAACAACTACCAAAAATAGGTTGCAAAATCATTCATAGCCACGTGATAACCCGTTTAACAATCAGCAAAACTTATAACCATAATTCTGGGCCCAATTATGGTCGTAAGACAAGGATTACATTGTACAACTTGCTCTAGAAAGTTTTTAAATATGCTCACAATGAAGTGCATAATTAAAGAAGTTTCTAAAGAACATTAAGCAAACAAAATGTAAGAACCCAAAAAATTGGCTTTCTTTCTTTCTTTTTTTTTAAGAAGGCAGGGAACCCTATCTTGCATTATTCAGCTTTTGATAACATATTTAAATTACAATAAATCTCACTCTTTCTTTTAAGTTTCTTTTCCAGATATATCTGCACTGCAGGTACTAATTTATTTAATAAATTTATAAGGCCACCCATTTTGATTACATGACTCTTAGCATCCAACGATAGCAAAATAAAAACAATAAAAATGCAGCCAATAATTAAAAATATAAATAACACAACACAGCATAAAATATCAGCCAATTTTACCCAAAGAGTTCACCATTATGGTGCACATATAAGAAGTCCACGTGCATTAAAAAAAAAAAAAAATAGAGAGATTCGTACCTCTTCTTTTTTAAAGTAGCCTGGGGACATAAAGAACTGAAGTAATAAATCTTTAATTTCATTACTCTCTTCTGAGTCATAATCAAAGCACAGCAAAACCGGGTGAAGGTGACATAGGCGGGTTACATCTGCCCCCTAAAGGAGATGAGTAAGATTATTCCATGTCACTGATGAGGCAAGAGACTGCAGAAAGTACAAGGAGGAGGAATGCCAAGTGTTGTGATCACCAGTGATACGCACGATATTCACACATAAACTTGGAGCATCATCTGGTTGGGGGCTGACCCCGTGGATGGTTCCCATGAGTTGACACTGAAAAGCTTCTTGCTGGGACTGCAAATTTTGGAGCCTAGATGCTTGGTTACACTACCCTGGCATATAATTCAACCCAAGAGAGATACCATTTATTACCTATGCATCCATTCCTGCCAATGTTTCTAAAAGCATCAGACTTCCCTCGGGCTTAATCCAGAGGAAAGAAAATTAATCCCCTGTAAATGATTTGTGGTGTACATTAAAATACAAAAGTGGCACTTAGAGGTCTATCTCAAACATATACATATAAATTTAGACACTGAACACATATTGCTTACCACAACAGTTTTCTTCCCCAGACTCTTCTTCAGAAGCATCAAAAAAGCAGTTTTCCCAAATTGTTCTTTTCCTTCTAATCCCTTCTCCCACCAGCATTCTGAAAGGCACTGAATGGCTCCCAACAGAGATTTTTCAGAATCCGGTAGTAGAGAAAGAATGCCTGTAACACAGTTATTTAATGAAAATGCAATGGATTTTAGGTTAACAAAAAGAATGTAATCTTCTTAAAAGTTTTCCTGTGGCTCTTAGGAATCAAGTATCTTTATGATAGTCAAAGACCAGTTCATGATAAATCTCGATAAAGGTAGTCCTTGTTTTGCAACTTTTTAAAGTTGTGACAGCAATGGAACAGGTGTTTTACAGCCAATGAAGCAACCCTAGCTACTGTAAATGATCATGCCACCCCCACCCACATGATTACAGTAGTGGCCAAAATTATTTTTGAGGTTTGATGGCTAATAATACCACTTTTTTGGGGGGAGAGTTTCAAGTTAATCATATTCCACTGCTGGAATGGCCTGGGAAAAGCCCAGACCTTAACCCAATTGAAAATCTATGAAGCCGACTAAAGAAACTTGTTAGTCAAAAGCGACCCAGCAATAAAACCCAGTTAATAGAAGCAATCTATTAATTAGAGGCGTGCATAACTGCACCAGCGTGCCTACCATCCCTGTCCTACTGTTACCATTTATACGTACTCCTTTTTTGTGTTTATGGCTGTTTTGCTTATTTGTATCCTTTTATTTGTGCCAAAAAAATTTCATATGTCCATGTCTATGTCTATACTGTTACTTGTTTCCTTGTACTTGTTCACAAATAAATAACAATAGAAGCAATCATTCAATCTTGGTTTCACATTAGAACAGCTGCAGAACTAAAAGACTTGGTTCACTCCATGGGAAGACGTTGTAAGGCCATAATTCATGCTAAAGGTTACCCAACTAAGTATTAACTGACATGGTGATAATTTTTCTATATCTTGTTTTTTTCCTACATGTTTCACTTTTCTTCTTTATACTGCAACTGCTATTCTAATAACAAATCCTTCATAAAAGTTATTGCATTACATTTTTGATTAAATTATCTTTCCACTGATATATAATTTTATGGTACTACTGCAAAAAAAAAAAAGTGGTGTTATTAGCTAGTTTTAGAAAATACACTTTTCCCAAAAGGTTTCTACAATTATGGCCACTATTGTATATGTCAGGGTGGGGGTCAGTTTTAGGACCAGTCATTACTTTTCACCCTCACATGACTGCAATTTACAGTGATTCTTGCCAGTTTGCTGCATGTTTTGCAAAAAAACCACCATCCATTCAAATGAATGGGTTTACTTAACAATTGCAGTGTTTGTTTAATGACTGCCCCAAAAAAAGATTACTTCCAGTCACGTGGATGCAATGACTTATCAAGACAACAATTTATGGTCATAATTTCAGGTTCAACTGTGATCATATGTCAATGAAAGAAACAGAATATGTGTTTGTGTGTATTTATCTGTATGTATAAAAGTAAAAACAAATTGTAGAATTGAGTTTATTAATCAATCGGGACTGCATTTTGCATATGATATAGCAGAACTAAGATATGTTTAGTCATTAAGATCTGAGACATCACTATGCCTGTTGTAAAAAAAACGCTTTTAGAAAGTTATTTTAGTGTTAAAATTAATATGCCTATATTTACATGTTCCTTAAGGAATAGCATGGTTCATCATGCAAGATTAATGCAGTTCTGGATAGATTGGTGTCCAACCAAATCTCCTTGATTCTGAAAAATTAACCATAATGTCATCCAATCTGAAACTCATTCAATCAAAAGAACATTTAAGCTTGGAAATCAGGCCCCTACTCAAAAATTCAAGTGATAAACACATCAGCAGATTCAGTATTTATGTCAACATTTTAGATTACTACTTGCTATTATGAGAATCTTCAAAACAAGAGCTAAGCATTTATGAAGAATATACAATCATTCTAAATTGCACCACTGAAGCACAGCCTCAATAAATTAAAAGTAGTTTAAGAAAATATGCAATTCCATGGGGAAAAACCACAAGCATCAGTCCAGGACTACTGCCAGAGGCATAGTTATATTCATCATACCCACAATACATACCATTTAATATCACAGCACATTCTAAAAGAGCTTTGATGTCAATATTTTCATCTAATGTTGGAACAGATGCAGTAACTATAGTTGCTACACCTTGAATCACAGCTGTACTTTGGTTCTGAAAATTCAGAGACAATTAAAAAGAAGGCTATAGACTTTAAAAAGATACAAAAGCATATTTTAAAAAAAGAGAAGCAGCCCAGATCTAACAAACACATTTTTGCAAAATATCTAGCAAATAAGATTTTGAAAGAATTCTTGACTTGGTATTATTTGGATATAAATTCATTTGTGTTAAAAATACCTAGGTGTGTCCTCTACAGTCAATAAATATTCAATAAAATATACTCAGGTCCGGATTATCTTTGTGGTTTTATATTTCCTCTGTTTTTATGGAGGGTGTGTGTGTGTGAGGTTGAATATTGCTTCCAAGCCCACCGGAGTTGGGTAGCTATAATAAATTTAAATAAATGAATATAAATATAAATTAAATACTTCTAGGAAGAAAATCAAGGGAATGCCTAATTTAAATGAGCAATAATTAGCTAAAATCACTGTTCCAATCCGATGTAAGTCAGTAGTCAAATTATAAGGAAAAAAAGCTTGGGCAATATCTAAAACCCAGAACATAGTCCAGTATTTTTTTTAATTTTTTAGCTTTTTTTATCCCACCTATTGCTTTATAATGTGAAAATACATAATCCTCCTTCCTTCTATTTTTCCCCACAACAATAACCCTGGGAGGAGGGTTGGGCCGAGAAAGAGTCTGATCTAAAGTCACCCAACTAAGTTTTACGCCTAAGGCAGGACTAGAATTCAGTCTGCTGATTTCTAGGCTAGTACCTTCACCACTACACCAAACTAATCCTGTCTAAGTATGCTACTTTTAAAAGGAAATGTGCACCCAAATATATAGTAATTAGTATATTCAAGATAAATTACCTGTGTTGCATTTTTTTCAGTTTCCATGCTGTCATCCTTCACTTTTTGCCATTCTTCTATGGGATTATCTAGCAAAACTTTTGCTAACAAGTCCTTTAATCTATTCCACAGTGTTTCTTTTTGCTTTCTTGATAGCTCTTGAACCAATTCATGTAGATCAAAGGGATCTGACGCATCGTTCTAAAAATATAGGCCAAGAAGTAGCACATCTCTCAATAGATTATTTCATACAACACATCACTATATTGTAAAATCAAGTTTGGGCTTTAAAAAGCCACCAAATATTTTAAATATTTTTTAAAAAATAGAAATTCAACTTTTTTTTTAAACTTAATTTTGAAGATTTAAAATTATATCTCTACAATTACACATGTCCACTTGGATGATCTCTCTTACAGATAGTCTTTGACACAATCGGGACCAGAATTTCCATTGTTAGGCAAGATGGTTGCTAAGTGAATTGCACCCAATTTTGTAATCTTGGCATGGTTCTTAAGCAAATCACTGCAGTTATTAAGTGAATCCAGCTCCCCCCACTTTGCTTGTTGGAAGCTGGCTGGGAAGGTTACAAATGCCAATCACATGACCCCAGGGATACTGCAACATTAATAAATACCCGTCCGTTCCCAACCACCCAAATTTTGATCAAATAACAAAGGGGATGCTGCAGTGGTTATAAATGCAAGGACCAGTTATAAGTCTTCTTTTTCATTGCTGTTGTAAGTTTGAGCGATTGTTAGACAGCATCACCAACAGATGGATTCGTAACTCTCTATCCCAAGCCTGTCTTAGACCTAGTACTTGTCAATATTTTCATCAATGATTTAGACCAGAGGATAGAAGGGGAACTCATCAAATGTGCAGACAACACCAAGCTGGTGGTAATAGCCAACACTCCAGAAGATAGGCTCAAGATACAGAAAGATTTTGACGGACTTAAACACTGGGCTGATCTAACAAAATGAAATTCAGTGGCGACAAAAGTGAAGTTCTACATTTAGGCAAGAAAAACCAAATGCACAGATATAGAATAGGTGTCCGCTATGGATTCATACTTTCAGAGTTGCTTTAATGTCAGTGTTCCAAGTAATGCACCGATTGAAATCAGAGCTCCGAGGCAGGTAGATTCCTCAAAGGACATGTTTATTGGATACATCATATCGGCACAGCCGATGAAGACCAACTCTAAAAGTTCCCACGGTTTTCACCTAATTAAAAGAATGAAACTTTCCCACCTCCCCTGAGTCATCAGTCACATGGTCCAATGAATGTAGCTGGCAGGCTCCTCTCCTCCTTCACCAGCCACCTGTTACGATGACCTTGGTTCCCCCAGGAAAACCTTTTATTTTGACTATAAACTGGGCTATATACTTTCCTCCCTCCCTTCCCTCCCTCAGGCCTCGTGGCAACTGTAAGGCAGCGCAAGATGACTTCAGCCAGGTTCGCTTCAGAGTTGACAGTAGGTGGTACCTGGCTCAATAGTAATAATAACTACAAGAGAGACAATCACTTAAATATCAGCCAGCACTGTACCGCAGCTGCCAAAAAAGCCAACACAATCCTAGGCTGAATTAACAATAGGGATAAAATCAAGATCATTTGAACCATTAATACCACTTTATAATGCTTTGGTATGTTTTGGACGCCACAATGTAAAAAAGATGTGGAGACTCTAGAAAGAGTGCAGAGAAGAGCAACAAAAATGATTAGGGGACCGGAGACTAAAACATATGAAGAACGGTTGCAGGAACTGGGTATGTCTAGTTTAATGAAAAGAACCTGGGTGATCATGATAGTAGTATTCCAATATCTAAAGGGCTGCCACAAAGAAGAGTGGGTCAACATTCTCCAAAATACGTGAGGGCAGGACAAGAAGCAATGGAGGGAAACTAATCAAGGGGAGGAACAAGCTAGAATTAAGGAGAAATTTCCTGACAGTTATAACAATGAATCAGTGGAATGACTTGACTCTAGAAGTTTTGGGCGTTCCAACCCTGAAGATTTTTAAAAAGAGATTGGACAACCATTTGTGTGAAATGGTATAGTCTGCTTCTTGAGCAGGAGGTTGGATTAAAGGCCTCCAAGATCCCTTCCAACTCTATTATTCTGAGGGCCATCTGCATAAGATGGAAAGTTGGACAACGAAAAATCTGGGCGTTAAGCAAAACAATACTACAAAAGACCAAAAGAAATATAACTATCTGCTGAAGTTGTTACTTTGTATATCAATATTATCTGGATGAATATGATTAATTATAAAATAAAATGCTAACAAAAAGGAGACTGAACAGAAATGTTCCTTTTTGAACAACAAAAGTACAGTATCTAAAAGAATTTCTTTTCAGGAAATCATCACTTATACCAAACTCTAGTTAGTTACTTCATTACCAGCTTTCTTTTCTAAAACTCTAAAATCACTTTGACCAATTTTGTTTGGTTGATATTTTTTTCTATTGAATGTAAGCCCACCATCAACTTAAATCTAAATATATACTTACATCAAGAAATTGTCCTTTTTTTTTTCTTAATATTTATTTTCATTGTATCTTGTTATAATGAACCTCAATAAAACACATGGGGGGGAAGAAATGATCCCCCAATGGCTATTTTATTACCAATAAATTATCTATTTGCCAAACCACTTATTTTTCAAACATGTTTTTATAGGGTGGTTTCTTTGGTCCTCAGATTTAAGTGTATGCTGAAAAAAAGCCTAACTTAAATAGAAATAAGATTCAAGAGCAATGAATTACAATGAAGTTCAACAAAACAGAGCATTGGAAAGACTTTTCAGTCCTTACTCTAGTGCCATCATGGCGAATCTGTGGCACGCAGAGCCTTCTCTGCAGGCATGTGAGCTGTCGCCCAGCTCAGGTTCACTGCACATGCGTGCGCACCTCCCACTGGCCAGCTGATTTTCGGGTCTCTGACACGGGGGCGGGGTGCATGCAGGAGACACATGTGCAGGGGGTTGTATGCACATGTGTGGGGGCGGAGGGGGTCATGGGGGGTCGCGGCACGTGGGGGGCATTGCATTATGAGTCTGGACACCTGTACATGTGCAACCCCGCCTCCCCCCGCTTTTGGCACACGATAGCAAAAAGGTTAGCCATCATTGCTCTAGTGTAACATGTAGGAGGAGAAGTTCTGAAGGGAGAAGGAAAAACAATAAAAGGGTAGGGACAGAAAAGGCTAAAAGAATGCCACCTGAGGTGCCAGTAGGATATGGTAAAAATAGTCAAGATGTTGCCACAATGGTGTGATCAAAGCTCTACCTGTTTTTTATATAGGTAAAGAAGGTTGAGTTTCTCCTCCCGTCCAATTCTGGACACAAAAAGTTTGGTCATATTTACTTACATGAAGTTGGATGAAATGCAAAAACTCTTCAATGGAATCCTTACATACAGCCTTAAGGAAAACGTCACGTTTTCTCATGGTATACTATTTGTAGTTCACAGACGTCTAGGGGGAAAATATTGTGACAAACAATAGCACAATTAAATGAATTGCAATTTCTAATTTCATAGGACACAAAGTTTATTACTAGATCAAGAAAATACACCTCAAAATGAATTAAAATATTTTTGGAGTATTAAATTTAGTAAACAACTAGCTGGTCAGCCTTCAGACAAATGGATTTTAATTTCCAAAATTCCTAACAATCCCTGGGAATTTTCCGCAAGTACCTCAAAATCTGTTTATGTCATTAGACCCGGGCATCCTCAGGAATTGGTGAGTTGCCAAGAAATCTATTACTGTTGCCCTCTCCTTTCCTTTTAATCGTAATAGTGATTTTTTTAATTTAACGTTTTATTGTATGCATCCCAGAGCCGCATTTTGAAATGGGAGGCCATATAAATGTGATGGAGTCCTTTGCTCTCTCTGAGCTTGGTTGTTTTCTTGCAGACCTTTCATTGGTCAACCAGATATCATCATCGTTGTCATCAACATCATCATTACCATCATCAATGTTGGAAGATGAAATTCATATATCAGGAAGAAGCCAAGGTTAAGAATGGCTCTACCAAAAGATAAAAATAAACTCATAGTATTGGCTCCACCCAAGACTAGTTTTCAAAAAAACAAACAAACAACAACAACTGTCTAGCAATTACCATATACTGAACAAAGATTGAAGCAGCTTCTTGGAATTGCTCTTCAAAATTTTGCAAGTTTTGAGGATAATGGGATCTGGGGTTCTATATAGACAGAATCATTTGCCATGGAGAGGTATAGCTGATCCAGTTGATCACTATCTGACAGAAACCTCTTCCTGGTGTGATTTGTGTGTCACCAGTCAGCCTATAGACAAACTCTGAGGAGAAGAAACAATAAAAGATGATCAGGGAACTGATATCATTTACATTGTAGAAATAATGTTGAAAGACATAACACTGATTTTTGAGAAGTCATATGTAGACCGAAAGTTTTGTTTAGGAAAGAGGCAAGAAACTTTCAATTTGCTCACTACTACACCCGAGGATAACTGAATTGGTGACCCTCAAGTTTCCAAAAATATGCATACGTTTTTAAGCATGCTAGATTAAAAATCAGTTCAGGACCAATGAACAAAAGTACCTCTAATTATGGCTTGCAATCTTCCTAACCAATTTTCTGTGCTACCTTTGAGGTAGATAGTAGATCAAACTTTATTTGGTAAAGAGCAGTCTAGAACAAAACAATTAATAAATTGTTTAAAAGTAAAAGTTGATCAAATATAAAACACAAGCTAAAAGAATGTTTGTATAGTTTTTACTTTTCAGAAAAAATATAAAAAATAAGCATGAGTGGAATGTATAAGAATAACATATTTATTCTCTAAATTCCTTCTATGACAAGGAATTAAACTTCACTTCTCATTGATGGTATTTCTATTCCAACCCTCTACGTCATAAACTAAAAATGAACGTAAAAGTTATATACCAGCAAAGGAAAATAAAAACAGCATGGTAGAGATATATTCATAATCCAACCATTTAAAAGCCAGAAAAATCCATTATCTGTTGAAAGTTTGAAAAAAACTTGTCAATGTCTGGGAGAATTACACCAAAGCCTTTCTCTTGTAGAAAATATATCCATTATAGAGAAGAGAAGAGAAGAGAAGAGAAGAGAAGAGAAGAGAAGAGAAGAACAGAGTTGGAAGGGACCTTGGAGGTCTTCTAGTCCAACCCCCTGCCCAGGCAGGAAACCCTACACCACTTCAGACAAATGGTTATCCAACATCTTCTTAAAAATTTCCAGTGTTGGAGCATTCACAACTTCTGGAGGCAAGTTGTTCCACTTATTAATTGTTCTAACTGTCAGGAAATTTCTCCTTAGTTCTAAGTTGCTTCTCTCTTTAATTAGTTTCCACCCATTGCTTCTTGTTCTACCCTCAGGTGCTTTGGAGAATAGCTTGACTCCCTCTTCTTTGTGGCAACCCCTGAGATATTGGAACACTGCTATCATGTCACCCCTAGTCCTTCGTTTCATAAAATTAAACATACCAGTTCCAACAACTATTCTTTTAGCCTCCAGTCCCCTAATCATTTTTGTTGCTTTTCTCTGCACTCTTTCTAGAGTCTCAACATCTTGTTTACATCGTGGTGACCAAAACTGGATGCAGTATTCCAAGTGTGGCCTTACCAAGGCATTATAAAGTGGTATCAACACTTCACGTGATCTTGATTCTATCCCTCTGTTTATGCAGCCCAGGACTGAGTTGCTTTTCTGGCAGCTGCTGCACACTGCTGGCTATATCTAAATAGTTTCATATCCACAAACATCCATTATAGTTTCATATCCACAAATTATCCAGGCAGTTCTGATCGTTGTAAATTTTAAATGTTTGTTTGCACTTAACCGAATGTTTAAACTGATGTGATGTTTTTGTCTGCCTATCAAGCATTATTATATTTTTAATCCCACTTTTGCAGTATTGAAAAGTTAGCAATCTCCATCCCCAACCTCTTTCATGGATAATCGTTAGAATACAGAGATGCACAGCCTTTTATTGTACTGTGCTCCCTAGAGTCGGAGAAGGGTTTCACCCAAGTTTGCACATACCCAAGTACATGATTGCCTACCTAGGTCAGAAACACAAATACACACCTGCACACATAAATTGGTGTTGGAATCACATTGGGCAGGCATTTAATTCACACCCCAGGCACCATGAAACTCTTCTTCTCCCTCTCCCCGAGACCATCAGGACTGTAAACACAAGCACACTCACCCACTTTCCTGGTAGGCGTTGCAGCAGATTCTTGAGGCCTAGTAACTTGAACACCTTTTATTTACAGGCTCTCGAATAGGGGATTCGCGACCAGGAGATGCTCCCTGCCCCCAGCCACCTCCGGCGTCCGTTCAAACGGTAACGGTATTTTCCACGGACAGAGGCTGCCGGGCTCAATTTTCCGCCTCTCCCGTATTTACAGTCACCGATTCGATTTGGCGCTTCCGCTGCCAGATTCAAATTCTCCCGCGGCTGACACTGCTAAATGACTCTCACTGAGCATGCGCGCGAAACTTGACTCGCTACCGCCCTGCAAGGTAGGAGGAGAAAGCGGAGTTTTGCTGCGCGTGCGTACTTAGTGTCTTAGTTTGTTTACTTACTTATTTACTTACTTACCTACTTTATTTTTGCCGGCCGCTGTTGCAGATGTTGCAACATCTGCCGGCCGCTGTTGTTTTGTTGCTTAAGCCTGCTTAAGCCTTCCCTCGATCGGGGCCATCTGGATGGGATGGACTACAACTCCTATGATCCCCAATAACTGGAAGGCAAGCCAGAAATGCACAACAATAAGAAAAAATGGTTCGAATTATGCAATGTATCAATGCATCTTTGGCGACTTTAAAACGGGCGGACTTCAACTCACAGAATTCCTCAGTTATGTCCATCACTTCTGTTTTTTGTTTGTTTCTTTTTTTTTTCATTTTAATAGATATCAACACTGTCCATGGTGATTCTGGTCAATAAAGACAACGCTAGGGATTGGTAAATTGTTTTGTGACTCAGGCTAGATTCCCACTTTTTGCTTATTTTACACCGGTAAATAATGTGTGGTAGGCAATATGACAAAGTCTTATCAAAAGAAGTTAGAAGTATGAGAACTGGATGCCTCTGTTAGCATCTTCCCATACAGAAACCTCCAAAACAATCTAAATTATATAATATTTGCAGAATGAGGTCTTGCTCAAATAACCCATTCTTTGGAAATCAGTGGATAGTTGAAAATGAATTAGGTAAAGGTGTGGGCTCTGTCTTTGTATCTGTCTATCTGTCTCATCACATCAGCAGGACATTCTGTGTAAATGAGCAAAATCAGATGAAAATGAGCCAGGTACAGCTGGGGCCTGAGTAGAAAAATACAGGTCATCCTTTTTTAGTGACTGCCTCAGAGAGTGACCGTTTGCAGTTATGATTGATGAAAAAGTATCTTTGCAACCAATGATCAGATGTATGAATTTTGCAAGTCTGCAAAGCAAAGGAAAGGGAGATCATAAGCACAGTCAGTTTCACTGAGTGATCACTTTGCTTGACCAACATGCCAGTCTAAATTGTGGTCACTAAATGAGGACAACTCATTCCCCTGGTCTATTCCAATGGGAGCACTGTTGGACAGGAACTTGGAGTCTTGCTGGCCCTCTTCCTCCCCCCCCCCATCCTGGGTGGAACACATCTGTCCTCTTCTGTTTTTTCTATCAAACAGATTTTATTTATTTGATTTGTATACCGCCCTACTCCCGAAGGACTCAGGGCGGTGAACAGCCAACAATAAAATACATAAATACACAAAATTTAAAAACCCGATTGACAGATAGCAGGGACATCTGCGTGGAGCAAAGCACCATCTTGATTTTTGTTTTATTTTTTTTGACACTTCACAGATACTCTTGCAGAAAAGAGTCAATTTCTGTTGGATTGGAAAAATATTAGTCTAGCAAAACAAGTAACAAATTGATGATGACATAAATTAAACTGCAATGTTATAAATTTTTGGCTTAGCGGGATGTGTGAGCCCTAATCCTATCCATTCAGGCAAACCACTGCAAAATGCCCAAGCACAAAGACAACAAAATATAATGTCCAAAAAGGTATAATATTTAAGGAGCTGCAAAACTGATTTTCTTTTTGCATTAAAGTACGCATACGCGTGTGCGCACTCATTAAAGCTATCCCACCAGGACATCTCTCCTGAGACCCGAGAATGCGTATTTTGCCTGGAAAGCAGCTATCAGCTGTGTGACTGTTGGATGTTACTGTTAGAAAAGTTTTTAGTTTAGGTTGTAGAGGTCAATAAGATCTTGGAATGTCCCAGCACCTACAATTAAGCCAGATTTCTTTTATCAAGAAAAACTTTGTTTATTTAAAATCAATAAACTATTTACATTTTAAATCACAGAACATTGTATCTTGGTCTTTATTTATTTCTGAGGTAAATGTGCCTAGAGCATAATCCCTTCTTCTCTCTTTCTGTCTCCCATGTGTCTCCCCAAGTGTTTGTGGGTAAAGGGGGTCATATTTATAGAGTGGTTAACCACTCCCCCTTCAATCTCTTAGACAAAATGGAGGGAAAGTATAAACACAAAACCATCCTTCCAGTATAGACAGTGTGGTTCAGTGGCACTGTTTTAGATGATTATCTGACAGTTACTACCATGTTCTTCACATAAACCTTCCCATTGGAATCTTAACATAAAAATCAGATCTGAAGAGAGAATGGCCAGAATGATTTCTCTGAATGGTGTTTGCAGAAACAGCATGAGACAATGCTTCATGAACTTACTATCCAAGCATCAGTTTTTATAATGTGTCCCTGCACATCAACAATTTTGCAGGCTTCCATTTTGCATTTTGGTTGGAATTATGGGTGGCTTTTAGATGAATCTCGCCCTTCCTATCCGGTTCCTGTCAAATCTGGTGAAAGTAGTCTTGTGAGTTCCATTCTCACAAAGGTTGCCGAAAAACCACAGATGCATTTTTGCTTTCATCAATCCCTCTTTTTCGTTTTCTTAACGGAGTCCTCTTCCTAGTTCACAATGAAGTTAAAACACCTCAGGACAAGCATGGAGGGGAAACTTTATGATTTTGTATATTATTCACTACTTCTAGCAACAGGAATGCTAGTAAAATATTGCCATTGTAACAATAGATAACAGCTGAAGTCATTTGATTATACCAGGGGTGTCAAACCAGGGGTGAAATGCTCCCGGTTCGGACCAGATTGCCTGATCCGGTAGCGATGGCAGGTGTTTGGAGAACCGGTAGCAAAAATCCCTGCGCCCCCCCCCCATCCCCAGCTGAACCCCACAATCATCAGAGACCTTTTTTCTTTTTTACTTTTAAAAACATTTTTTCTACAACCTCTTCCGACGAAAAAATGCTTTTAAAAGTAAAAAAAAAAAGCCTCTGATGATCGCACGGCTTAGCGGGGATTGTCAGAGGCTTTTCAAAGCATTTTTTTCTGCAACCTCTTGGCCGAAGAGGTGGTAAAAAAATGCTTTGAAAAGTCTCTGATGATCGCAGCTGAGTTGCCTGATCGGCAGAGGCTTTTCAAAGCATTAGAAAAAATGCTTTGAAAAGTTAAAAAAAAAAAAAAGTTGGCCACGCCCACCCAGTCACATTACCCACCACCACCAAGCCACAACCACAGAACCAGTAGTAACAAATTTTACATTTCACCCCTGTGTCAAACTCATGTCATCACGGCAGTGTCACGTGATGTATCGGGACTTTCCCCCCTTGCTAAACCGGGCATGGGCGTGGCCAGCGTGTGATGCATCCGGCCCATGGGCCGTGAGTTTGACAGCCCTGGATTATACCATCCACAGATAGTCCACAACTTAACATTCATTTAGCAACCCTTCAAAGTTACAATGACACTGTAAAAAGTCCTCACACTTATGACTGTCACAGCATTCCCATAGTTCCATGGTCAAAATTCAGGCACTTAGCAACCAGGATGTATTTATGACAGTTGTAGTGTCCCAGGTCATGTGATCTACCATTTGCATTCTTCCCAGCTGGCTTCCAAAAAGCAAAGTTAATGGGAAAAGCTGGATTCTCTTAATGACCACATAATTCATTTAACTGCAATGATTTGCTTAACTGAGGCAAAAAAGTCGTAAAATTGGACACAACACACTTAACTGCTTTGCATATTAACGGAAAGTTTAGTTCCAACTATGGTTTTAAGTCAAGTACTACCTGTAAACAAGAAGTCTGGTTGGGGAAATAGGTTTGTTTACATCATTCTAAGTTTTTATTTCCATTGTGGAAATGTTCTTATTTTGGTACTACATTTGTTTTCTTTTCAGCATGTACTGTGCTGATTCTTTTTCTCTATTTCTATTTTAAATTTCTTTTTTTTTTTAAGTGTCAGAGTAATTAAACTTACCCAATGTTATTGTGCGCCACATAGCTTTTGAAAAGTATAATTTTCCCTTCTGGGAACATTGCATGATTCATCTGTATTTTCTTTTTTTTTAAATTGCAATAAAGTTAGTTCAAAACATGATTCATCAGCTTTGAATAGTGGATGGACAGCCTTGCAGGATTATATGTCAGGGCTGTTGATCTAAAATTGGCTGATGCATAGCTAAAAATAGCATCTAATTTATGAAAAAAATTGTCAAGATTCCCCGCTCCCTTTTTTATTTATTTGTTTATTAATTTAAGATGGAAAGTATGGCTGGTTTACATTTGTGCTGTCTTTTGAAGGCAAAACCCTATTTTTGCAGATTCAGTGTTGACAATAGATATCACATCCATAGTCCAAATTAGAGACATCAGAAAATCATCATCAGTTAAAACTTTTCTCCTTCTCCAAGTTTATGGGGAAAATTGTTATTCAACTATACCCTGCAGCGCCATCTAGTGCTATATTTGAATTACTTAAGTGACAGAAGAAATTCTCCGTTTCCAAATGCAGTGTCAGGCATTATGCGTGGTGCAATCAAATATGAAGCAAAATCTAACACTTAAACCATATATTGTCCATCCATTAGGAATAATTTTTTTCTTTTGTATTAAAAATATTTCCATGGATTAAGATATATGTTTTACAGAGATGCGGAATCAGCTTCCTATGCATGGGGATAGAGATATTTCAAAGAGACATTGAATCAGCCACATCTGATTGTAATGTATAATTTTAGCAACCCACTACCCATTGATCTGTAGATATGGGATCAAAATAGAACTGGAGAAAACAATATGAGCATGGAAGAACAATAAAACACCTGAACTAGATGAAATATCAGCTGAAGTCCTGAAACTTGATGGCAAGATGGCCATTTGTAAGATTACTAAACCATTAAGTGATTGCTGGCAAAATAAACATGTCCCAGATGATTGGGGGGGGGAGTTATCATTATCAAGATACCCAAAAAGGACAACCTAAGTGACTGTAACAATTGGACTGTAACAACACACTTCTCTTAGTCTGGAAGTACTTCTCTTAGTACTTCTCTGGAAAAGTACTATGTACTATCCTACTCAAATGACTCCCAAACA